TAGCTGTGTATATAAATGTATAACCGTATTACCTGTATAGATGTATAACTAGTGTAGTATGTTGAAGTATGTGGTGGTATAGCATGTTCTGTATATATTGTATTTAGTCTAGAATGCAGTATAACAAGTATGAATTGTAGTGGTAAATGTAGTGAACTAATATTAAGTAGTATTGTATGTAGTTTCTGTAGATGGTGTACTTGTAGAGTAGTGGGAGTTTCTTGGTGAGGATAGGATCTGGGTGGGTGGATGTGGGTACAGGATGGGGTGGGCATGAGAGCTCGGGAGGGTTGGCGCTTGGTGGGACGGATTCTTGCATAAGCGAATTTTATTTATTTATTGTATTTTTTTTTACCAGTTACACCCGGTTTGTTTCTGCCGTGTCATTGAACGGTCTTTGTGGTTGGTCTTTTATTTTTTTTTTTTTTTTACCCTGGCATCGGTCGGTCTGTTTTTACCCTGGCATTGGTTGGTCTTTTTTTACAATGGCATCGGTCGAAGTATTTTTCTTTTCCCTGGCATCGGCCGAGGTCTTTTTTTTACCATGGCATCGGTCGAGGTCTTTTTTTACCATGGCATCGGTCGAGGTTTTTATTACCTTAGATTTGCTTGAATACTTTGTTTATACCAATAGCTGGGGAGGAGCCTTGTATTCTGGAAATGGCTGTAGGGGCCCCGCCCTCCTACACTGTGCGGACCGGCTCCCCCTCCCCCTGGCTGGAGGGGCTCTGACTGACTTAATACAGTACACCCCGGCCCACACATCACAGGTACCTTGCTGTTGTCCCAGCTTGTCTGTACCTAACACTAATCCAACTCTTGACCAATTCTTTCTCGCACGTTTTATTTTTTCTTCAGGCACGTACAGTACCAGTGAGTGAGTGTTCTAGTGCTGTTTTTTATGTACTTCTCTAAATTATTACCAGTGTTCATCACATTATGTAATCCATGTTACACTCATCTTCAGGAACTATCATTATTAACTTTCCTGGAATTATTAACATGTTTTTAATAATCATGGCCATTGTGTTTAGAGCTGTGATTTTTTCTTTACTTGTCTGCCAGCAAGGTCTTAGCAGGAACCACCTGGTACTGCTGATCTGTGGCACTCTGGCCACCTGGTACTACTGATATGTTGCAGTGGCCATTTGGTACCACTGGAGTACTGACCACTTGGTAAGTTTATTTTGATATAACGTCAAACCTGCTCGTTTACATCCACGTTTCCCTCTTAAATAGAGATTCACTGTAAATATTGATCCATTAATGTGTGGGTTGATGAAACTTGCTGTTATGTAAACCTGAAAGTCTATTTAATGCATCTCAATATCTGTAATGAGACGTGTGAGTATATAAAACCTTCAGTCAATGTGAGTAATCTTTTTGTCAACAGATTACTGGAGGATGTTGGTGCCACATTTGTGTACTTGAGGCAGGACCTTTGATCTCCTCAAAGCTGCTTACTTGAAGGGTTCGTGCTGAACCTCCCGTACCACATACTTGTCGTGCTGCTTCCCGACGTCTGTTACCCACCTTCCTGCCTACCACTCCTATTACCTTACCCTACTACCCACATACCTGCCTGTGAGGTGAGCAGCTGTGTTCATCAAACTACTTGGCTGGACACTATCTGGTCAAGTTCCCATCATTCATAATGTTTAATATCTTGTGTTGTGTACAGTACCTACCTTATGTTTGCAATAAATCTGTTTGTTAATTTATGTTTAAATTATCCTGTTTATACAGGGTCCGCTGCAGTTTCCTCCATTCTTATGTTCTTATGCCCAACCAACCTACTGTGTCGGTTGTTCCACCCCTCACAAAAGTTGTTCGTGCAGGATTCATCCTTGAGCGGTTTTTTTTTTCTTTTTTTTTTAGGATTAGCCCACCCTGGTACTGACCCACTGACGCACATCGGGGCTTGGGGGGCGAAAATGTAATAATAATAAGAAGAATAATACTAAAACTAATAAAGAAATACAAAAATGAGAAACAATATGGAACAGTCTATGTATGTTCTGTTGTTAATATTAAGAGAAACAATTGAGACCCTGCAATTGTGTTTAAATGAGGCAAAATGTCAGATCAGCAACCTGGGACTTGGTCACATATGGCAGCAGGGTCTACCATTAGACAACACATTATGCTTCCAATATCTTCCCAGGCGGTAGAACCTCCCTGTTTGGTAGCTGCCTACTACCTGCTTTATGAACGTTCATTAGCTCGTTCGTGGTTCGTGAACTCGAAGTGAAATTTGTTGTGCCATTTTTTCCTAGTATGAATATTGTATAATTTTTCCTGGTAAAAGAATTGTGCCATTTTTCCGGTGCCATTTTTTTCTGTGCCATATTTTCATGTGCCATTTTTTCCGAGTACCGTTAGATGAACGACTCAAAACTTGAGTGACCATCACTTCTTCCTGCTGGTATTCTGGTCCTTCAACTTTCACACAAAATCTCATCGTCATCTTTATTCATCAATTAGATCGGCTTTATATGGTAAGGCAGAGATTGAATCTATAGAACAAACGTTCATGTACAGAAACAGTAATTATGTAATGTTAAATGATATTTTTGGTCATCAAGGACCACTTTATTGTGTTGTTGACCATGTTTCTGCGAGTTAGTTATATATGCAGGTAAGAACACTGTACAGGGACTTTTGAACTGAATTATTACTTTCAGTACATTAATATTCATAGTTAGGTTACTGCAGCACCTTTAGCGTCTGTATATGACTAACTGAAGTATTTCCACCATCAGTGAGTCTTATTTATTTTATATTTAAACTTAAATTGTCTTGTAAAAACATTTCTAAATAAACTTCGATTCTTAAACAAATAAACCATAAAAGAAGAACTTGAAGGAAAAAATACTTAGAATTATCCAGACCCAGTAAACTTCACCCGCTGCTGCCTTTCATTCACCTTGACCTAAATAATGCGTTAATGGGGCAGGTGAGGAGGGCAGGTGACCTTGAGTCCCGTCCTGCACACCTGACTACCTCCCCCACCCCTTGTTCCAGCACTCGCCTCTTGTGGACTGTGCTAACACCTTCTGTAACTCCGTTTTTATTCTCCTCTCTCTCTCTCTCTCTCTCTATCTCTCTATCTCTCTATCTCTCTATCTACTATCCTATCTTCTTCCCTTAAACTTCCCTTTCTCTCTCTCTCTCTTTCTTCATTATTATCTCTTCCTCTCTTATCCCCATTCTTTTATATCCTCATCACTCTTAATGTCACGAATATTTTGAACAAGTTAAAGTGAACTAAGCTGCTTGGTTGTCTTGTGAGAACCTTTCTGGCCAGAACCTTGTGAGGGACAACACTGGGCCTCTTCTGTCAGCTGCATTCACTTCATGTCACCTCTTCTGTGCTTCACTGCCAGGGAAGTTTCTTGCCAAGTGGTTGTATGATGTTAGTACGGGTGTCTTTCTGTGTTAATATATTAATTAAATATACTTAATGACTGTTGGGATTATTAGTCGTTCTATTTTTGAGAAGAACGAAGGTAATTACACAGAAACCAACTGACTGAAACAGAAGTGAGACAGAGAATGGCGTTGTTTCATCATTCGACACGAAGTAAAAGTGACCAAAAAGTGTCTCAAACCTCTTCACTACGGGGCGCCACTTTTGACATTTTATTTAGCTGACGATGAACGATTATATTCAGCACAGAGCGCCCTCCATACACAAGCTGTTAGTAGACTATATCCACTAAGCGAGGGGTGCCTGATTCCCCCCGTGGCACCAGCGCTCAGGAACGCAGGAAGAATTCTTTTAGTAAGTCAGTCACTCGGAGGTTTTCCCCGAGATGACTAACACAACTAAAGATAACCTCAGTTTCCGGTGTTACCAAAAAATGTGTTACCTCCTTTGTATTTCTCTAAAAATTCTCTCTCCCTTCTTCTCTAGCTCCCTTCATCAATCCCTCCTTCCCTCAATTCATTCCACCCTCCCTCTTTCCCTCCCTCCTTTCCTCCCTCCCTTCACTTCTCTCTCTCTCTCTCTCTCTCCATCCCTACCTATCTCTCTCTCCCTCCTTGACTCCCTCCCGCTTTTCCCTTTCTCTTCCTCCTTCCCTTCCTCGTTCTCTCCCTCATTCTCTGCCTCGCTTCATTGGCCCCTCCTTCCCTCTCTCTCTCCACCCATTCCTTCCTCCTTGACTCCATCCCTCCATCGCTCTCTCCCTCCCTTCCTCCTTCCCTCCCTACAGATGTTGTCATTATCAGCCACATCAGGTAAGGTCACCACCTCCTTTTCTTCTAAATTAGGTTTTTGATGAAAATACTCAAGAATATCTTAAGAAAATAGAATTACCTAAACGATAAGAATATTAGCGAGTGTTTAAGAATATTTAGACACATAACTCGATTTACGCTTTATCGATTAATATGTGTGTGCATAATGTTTATAATGTATATGATATATATTTTCTACCTCCATAGAAGACACCGTAAAGTGTTTCTGAAATGAGTTTTTAATATTTGTTGGTTTTTTATTCAATTAAAATGTCTATAAACAATGTGATGGCGTTGCATATAGTCACGTGTAGCCCCCCGCACCACACACACACACACACATACATTGGGCAACATGAAGACGAAGGCGCTTAGACATTCTCTGTATCACAAATAAATGGACATCATGTAATCCCATACGACATCTTGATCTGCCCAATGCTTGTTCAGTCGTCTTTAGAAATTTAAAACATTTGTAGAAGACACCCCACCATCACCCCTCACCATCACCCCTCCCCATCACACCCTCACCCCCACCATCACCCCTCACCATCACCCCACCATCACTCCTCACCATCACCCCTCCCCCACCATCACCCCTCACCGTCACCCCACCATCACCCCTCACCATCACCCCACCATCACTCCTCACCATCACCCCTCCCCCACATTACCCATGAGAGACTGTTCATGACTCATCTACGCCTCCTGACCAGGTTAAAACCCCACTGTAAACTGGTGAAATAAAACTCCGTAGATAGGGGGAATAAAACTACTTTATTTTGTTGTTGTTTTTTGCGGGGAATAGCCCACCCGACCACAGGCCATCGACCGACAACGGGGAAAAATAAATTTTAAATAAAGCATTACCTGTTTTTGTTACTTTAATTTTACATGGTAATATTTTTATTCATATTTTTTTCATAAATTATCCTACATTAATCAGTACAATTACACTGTCAAACTATGCCAGGACATGTACAATGTCATACACTATACCAGGACAAGTACAATGTCATTAACTATACCAGGACAAGTACAATGTCATACACTATACCAGGACAAGTACAATGTCATTAACTATACCAGGATATGTACGATGTCATACACTATACCAGGACAAGTACAATGTCATACACTATACCAGGACAAGTACAATGTCATACACTATACCAGGACAAGTACAATGTCATAAACTATACCAGGACAAGTACAATGTCATTAACTATACCAGGACAAGTACAATGTCATACACTATACCAGGACAAGTACAATGTCATAAACTATACCAGGACAAGTACAATGTCATTAACTATACCAGGACAAGTACAATGTCATAAACTATACCAGAACAAGTACAATGTCATACTACACAGGTAAATATTCAATAAATCTTGACATTGTTTTGGAAGCATATGGAGGGTTCCCGATGAAATTGGTTAACATAATAAGGTGAATTAGTGACAAGGGAAAATTGGGTGGCTAGATTACTCATAGGTGAAATTGGGTGAGATAAGTATGAGAAAAATTGGCAGAGATTTAAAATAGGAGAAGAGAAAGAAAGGAAAAATTAAAAGAAAAGAGAAGGATGGAGTAAGAGAAGAAAAGACAAAGAGTTGAAATAAAAATATAATTAGAGTAATAGACAAGAAGGCAAATGTTTGGTTCAGTTTGCGTTTCTCTCCCTCATTCCTTACACTGACGTCTGCTTAACTGCGTGACTTGACCGCTGGCTCGTGCTGTTCCTGTTGTTGCTCTTGCTGTGAGAAGACCACTAGGTCATCTTGAGCTAACACGCCCACCTCCACCAATTTGCTCAAATGTATGCGAATCTCCTCATCCTGCAAAGACAGTGACGCAGATTCTTAATTTTTCTCGCTGCCTTGAGCTTGCCTATCTCTCTCCCTGCCTGGAAACTGCCTATCTCTCTCCCTGCCTGGAAACTGCATATCTCTCTGCCTATGTGAACAGCCTATCTCTCTGCCAACCTGGAAATTGCCTGTCTAGAAACAGCTTATCTCTCTTCCTCTCTGAACTGCCTATCTCTTTGCCTACTTTGAAACTGCCTATCTCTCTCCCTGTCTGGAACCTGCCTATCTCTTTCCCTGCCTGGAAATTCCTATCTGTCTGCCTTTCTGTACTGCCTATCTCTCTGCCTATCTAAACTGCCTATCTCTCTGACTACCCGGAAACTGTCTATCTCTCTCTACCTGGAAACCTCTCTCTGTCTCACTCGATCACAGGGAAGCAACACCTTATAGCTATCACCCCACAATCAGGTTCATCCACTCACCTGGAACAGATCGGGTACAAGTTGTTCTGTGTGGCCACTCTGTTGATGGCCTCCTTCCTGCTGGTGATTGTGGCCCTCCTGCTCCAGCTGGTTGTGATGGATGATCAGTCCTTCATCCACGTTCTCGGGTACTTGTTGCTGACTCCAAGTCTCCATCTGAGATGTAAAAGATCCATACTCTGTTTACAATAATTTCTTACAAAGAAAGATAAAGACAGGATAAACATTATAATGTACAGATATATATAAATGGCTGGTGTTTTTGCGTCCATGCGTGAGAATGTCTATCGTTTTTTATAGACATTTTACTATACGATGCTAAAATAAAATTAATCTGTTGTGTAGAGATATTTTACTGAAAGGAGAATTAAATGTTAGTATGATTGAGACAATACAACTAAATATTGTTTGCTGTGGGGTGAGGCGGGATATGGGTGTGACGGGGTGAGTAATGTCTCCACTTAACTGAATGTGTGTGTGTGTGATCAGCTATTTTTCCTACACAGGGTGGTGGGTGTTGGGGGCCTCGATTATACCTTAATATTATGTTGTAGTTGTGAGGTTAATGCTGCTGTTGTTTGTATTTCATTTCTTTATTGCATATTAACTTTTTGTGATCAATCAAGAATAAAGTTAACCCAGAGTTAAACCCATTCTAACCCGCAGTTAACCTTATATATCCTGAAGTAACCTAACATAACCTAATTCAGAGTTAAACTTGAATAACCTAACCTAACCGAACCAAACCTAACTGAACCTAAAATTATCTGGCATGACACTTGTGCACAAAATTGCTGGGTCACTTTTGGTACTCTCTGGCATTATCTGCTTGAGGGTAATTTAGGTGAGACAGGATTGTGATTTTTAATAATTTCATTATTTAGACAACATTTTATTTGTATTATGGAACATGTTTTTGTCTTCGTTGTTAAATCTTACATAATTTAGAATGAAAGGTAACGTGTTCACCAGCTATGACTCAATCACATGTAGACGCTAGAAATTATCACGCGTATTTTGGCTGTACATCACGATATGTCTCGATGTGTTACAAATATATAGTTATAGACGCTAGTAACATGTGTGTGTGTGTGTGTGTGTGTGCGTACTGGACAGTCTCTCATCCTGTAAATTGAGATAACTTCTATTTCGAAACATCCGGTGAAACTGTGATGCCCCCGTGGACAAAAATGTAATTGATGTGCACTTGAAGCTGAGTAATTGTTTCTGGAGTTAAAAGAAACACAAACATCAAGGGACTCTGTAAACATTAACACTAAGGGACTCTCTAAACACAAACATCAAGGGACTCTGTAAACGTTAACACTAAGGGGCTCTGTAAACAAAAACATCAAGGGACTCTCTAAACACAAACATCAAGGGACTCTCTAAACACAAACATCAAGGGACTCTCTAAACACAAACATCAAGGGACTCTCTAAACACAAACATCAAGGGACTCTCTAAACACAAACATCAAGGGACTCTCTAAACACAAACATCAAGGGACTCTCTAAACACAAACATCAAGGGACTCTCTAAACACAAACATCAAGGGACTCTCTAAACACAAACATCAAGGAACTCTCTAAACACAAACATGAAGGGACTCTCTAAACACAAACATCAAGGGACTCTCTAAACACAAACATCAAGGGACTCTCTAAACACAAACATCAAGGGACTCTCTAAACACAAACATCAAGGACTCTGTAAATATTAACACTAAGGGGCTCTGTAAACACAAACATCAAGGGACTCTCTAAACACAAACATCAAGGGACTCTCTAAACACAAACATCAAGGGACTCTCTAAACACAAACATCAAGGGACTCTCTAAACACAAACATCAAGGGACTCTGTAAACGTTAACACTAAGGGGCTCTGTAAACAAAAACAATATGGGACTCTTGATCAGTTTCTTTCATAATGTAACTCACGTATCTGTATTTTGCGATAACTCTAATGGCGTGTCGACGTGATTGGATTGCTTAGTGTAATGTTATATAACCAAATTGCGACCTTCGGGCTAATGGCATGACGGCCATCTTGGGTAATTAAAGCAACACATTGACATGAGGTAATAGACTAGAATAATTGTATGGTTAGAAAGTTATTTGATGGTTTTCTATGTTATGTGTAATAATCTAAGACCAAAATTATGAATTTCTAATAAACTAAATGGCGGTCATATTGGATTTACCTTCTACACTTGACTTATTTATTACTAGGATACTGTAGTGACTTCCCACGTGGTCAAACCAGATCGGGTGCGCACCTATGTTCGCCCTCAGAGTAGTACCGTAGTGAAATTTGCCATTCTTAGTCAATCCAGAGATTATACTGTGTACATGAACTGCCATGAAATTGATGGTTCACTGTTGTAACTGCATTGTCAATATTGTATTAAGTGTTCATAAAGTTACAGTGTCAAAAATATTGGATGAGTCTTTCAATTTGATATCTACGACAACTAAAACATCTATGTATTTTTTTATTATTATTATTTATTGCTTGAAATTATAGGCATCTGAAATGTAAATTTTTCACTTGTCAGAAAAAAATAGTCCTTATTTTTTGTCAACTAAGACAATACAGGAAGCTTCCGCCTCAGTGGCTTGTTTTGTGAATGAAAACTTTTTTTGTAAGCCATCCATAATAGTTTTTATTTATTTGCCATTTCACCACTTATCAGCTTACTAGACGTTCGGTTGGATGGTCCTCTAGTGTTATTACGGGAGAAAATCGGAGTACTTTATACCCGGAGGAAACCTATGATATTTGGTAATGAGGGTCACGCGTATCTGGGTTAAGCAGGACTCGAACCCTTCACATATTAGTGAAAGATACGCGCTTTCGCTCGTAAATCTGAGGGCAGTTTTAGTGTTTTCGTTGGTAAGAAGATCGTACTAAAATACGCATAGAGGAACGAAAATTGGGTAAACGTTAAGGATTCACCAGAGGGATGATAACAGATGATCATAAGTAAACAACGACCATGTCGCCTTTGAGAACTCACCTTCTGGCCAACCAGCTGGAAGAATTCGGCCACTTGAGCGTCGCCTTCCTGTAACTTCTGTTGCAGTTTGTCCAGGACCTCCGACCCTCGTACCTGTATAAGGCGGAGACAGATGCTATATTAAACTAGATAACAAGAACGAATAATAACGAAATACTCGACAGAATGAATGATAAGTAGCCAATATATGAATAACAGCAGATAAAAAAAGAATGATCGATTAGGATGTATAGGCACGGTCAAATGTAGTTATCCACCCTTCCTACTAGCACACATGCGACCTCAGGGACTTTCTACAAGACAGTTCACAAAAAGGTGGGGGAGGTATTGGTAGGGGGAAGAGTTAGGGGTAGTAGACCCGTGTAAGGTAGGAAGGCGCAAGTCAAAGACCTTAATACCTGAAGAAGGTGTTAAGGTAAGTGGATGTAGCTTGACATTGACAGCCTTAATGATCGGGTGTCTGGGGAGGTGCTATATGGACTTAACTTTCCCTTAGTTATCTATGCCATTACTTGTGGTTCTGGGGAGGAATGAGAGTGAACTTTTGGCAGGTAATGTGTCATTAATGTTGATAAAGGCGCCTGGCTTTCGCGAGGGAATGTCCCTCATATGACAACATAAGAGAGAATGGGGCGTGGCTTGGTCACCACATTAACACTGAACGAGGCTGTTACTTGATCACTTCCACCTCTCGCCACTACTGTTCTTGAAAAAAAAAATCACTACTAATTCACAAGAAAAGAAAAACTTGTTGGATAGACTGTGACTTGTCTACCCTGTAATATGTTTATTATAATTGTGAAAATTAATGCCATATCATGATGTGGTAGTGGCAATGGTGCTGGCTATGGCTCCACACCCAGCCCAAGATGGACACTTAAGAATAGTTGATTGGCGAATAGTGGCCAAATTATAGGCTTACAAGGGTGGCTCTTCTTCTGTCCAACTGTTAGATGGGGTGGAATCAAAGGCATTTCGTCTTATTAACTCTCATCCTTTAGTTGACAATCTTTCTTCCCTTTTTCTTCGCCGCACTGTTGCTTCACTTTCTCTCTTTTACAGGTACTTTAACGGGCAATGTTCGGTGGATTTGGCATCCTGTGTACCGCCGGCAAGGCCGTGGGCTCGTAACACACGTCCTGCCCGCGGTGCCCACCATTTCTCTGTGGATGTCGGTCACTCTAGAATAACCCGTTATAGTACCTCCTTCTTTCCTCACACAGCCAAACTGTGGAATGCTCTGCCTTCCTCTGTGTTTCTACCCTCATACAATTTGTCTCACTTAGAAAAGCTGGTTTTCCGGCATCTTCGTGGTGTACATTAATATAACTTTTTATTCTTAGCTTTTCGCCCCCTAGGCTCCGATGTGGGTCGATGACCTGTGCCCGGTGTAAATGAAGCAGAAAGTCAGATCAGCATCCTGGACTTGGTCACAATTTTTGTGATGCCATATGGCAGCAGGGTCTATCATTGAACAACACATTATGTTTCCAATATCTTCCCAGGTGATAGTACCTCCCTGTTTGGTAGCTGCCTACTACCTGCTACTCTTCCAAGCATATAAACCACTCCTTTTCTGATGTGGAACTTGCATCGCATACTACCCTCCCACACTCCCCCCCCCCAAGTCGACAATTCTCCTTTCCACACAACATGACTTCCCCTGCAGAAAGGACCCGTCCAGTCCAAGGGGCTAAGTGGTGGAGTGGATGGTTACTTCTGATAGCGAGTGTACAGTTCCTCACACACAGTCTGTTATGTTCCACGGCTCACAGCCGACTAGGTACATGTGACATCGCCGCAGTAAGCGTCAAGGTACTCCAACTGCGTGATGGTGGGGATGGCCCTTCCCTCCCTCACTGAGATATACCATGTTGAAGGACTCTGTTGTCTCCGCCCCCTCCCCACCAACTCCCAGCTGAGGTACCTTGACTCCCACTGTGGCGCTGTTACATGTACCGAGTCGCCTGTGAGACGAGAAACATACAGTAACATGTGGAGAAAACTGCAATGCCTACAGTAGATAAAACGGATGATTAGTAAGTTAAGAAAAGTAGGGGGAGAATGGGAGGCCTTATCGGGTGGTTGGTGTAGGGTTGGGGAGTAGTGGTGTGGGATGTTATTGATGAGTCTCTCTCTCTCTCATATCCGGTACAAGTTAAAGTAAGAGTGGCAGCTGTTTTACCATTAGAAGAGAGACGTGGGCGTGTTTATGTGTATAGAATATGCGTGTGACGGAGTGTTTAGGTGTGTAAAAAGGTGTGTTTCTGTATGTATAGTGTGTGTGTGTGTGTGTGTGTGTAAAAAAGATACTACTACTACTTTTTTTCGACTACTTTTTTTTTCTGTGGCCTCCAGCCTCCCCCAATAGCCACACCTTCGCCACCATTTTATTACCTTAATATTAAATATCCTAATACATAGGTAGCTATCCTAGCTGTGTTGAGTTAGTTGAGCCGCAGATCTATGCGGCATTCAGTGACTGTAGCCTCATAGTCAATATCTGCAGTAGTTGTCGGAGTTGGGGCAGAAGCTCTCGTTCCTCTGAGGCAGAGCAAAGCCGACCGAAGGAGAGAGAAAGACAGTCGACATCTCATCCAGGCTGTAACATAACTTCTGGGCTGCTGCTTCTGTTCGGAGATCAACTCCGCGAGTCTGGCGTAGAAACATCTTGCACTTGGTCCCATCCCACCAGAGGTTGTGAACACTAGAGGAGTGAAGCTGCCTTGATCAACGTTTCGAATTCTCTCCCCATATGCCCTTCTCTTGTCGTTCTCGTTCCTCCTATGTGCAGCATCGAGGGCTAGGTTACGGTGACATGTGGCCATGGGATCAAAATTCCTGATGTCGAAGAAAGCTCGCTGTCCCCGCGTCCAGAATCCTCGAGCACTGACGTCCACACGGGCTTCGTTAGATGTGTTTGAAGTCCTGTGTTGGAAGATCTCACCATCCAATGGAAGGAGGGTCGGTTCTACCATGACATCCCGGCAGATTTCCTTCACCATATTTGCTGTGAGATCCCTTACCTCGTCATACCTCATGCATATGAAGCCCCCCTTCTTGCACACCATGGCGTGATCGCCATCATAGGAAGCGCCACACACGCATTGTGAGGGCAAACCTTCTATTGGCCGACCGTACCTTAGAGCATTGGCATCTGTAAATTCTTGTTTATTAAGACTGAAACCAATAATAATAATAATAACAATTCTAATAATAAATAACAATAACAATAATGATATTACTAGTAGTAGCATCATTATTATCATCACCACAGTATCATTACTTTACATTGAGAACTAATTAACAGTGACCGGTGCTGTATTAAAGCTACCGGGATGGTCCTAATGAACCTCACAACAGTAGCCACACTAAGAATGCTAAATAAGCATTCCACAGAAGTGCCACATCTCACAAAACGAGCCATCCACTGTATTAGATATAAGTGCAGGCGACTGTACATTGAGGAACTCGCCTGGTCGTAGGTGTGGGTGAGTCTCTGGAAGCAGTAGTGGAGGCCCTGTTGTATCAGTAAACCGAACTTGGAGAAAGCCGAGGCAATATAAGTCTTAAGACGTGGCACACTCTCCCGGGCGTGGTGGTATGCTGTCACAACGTGCTCTCCTACCTGTAATTTGGGATATTTTTAACATAGATATTGAATGTTAGAATTATATATTACATAAACTGCTCCCAATGTCTGAAATGTTAAGATTGTAAACGGAATTGAATTTTTATGCTTTGAATGTTGAAATTAACTAGTGATAGATAGATAGATAGATTGATAGATAGATAGATAGATAGATAGATAGATAGATAGATATTCTGTAAACTCTTCCAACAATTAACAGTGCATGTAGGCAAACAATGGTAAACAGTAAAATGATTCGACCAAGGAATAGTGAATTTATTAAAAGAGCATTTTATAATGGTTGACAAGTTAAAATTATAACATGGTTATTACCAAATACGTTGATATTGTTAAATTTAGCTTCTAAAACGCTTAAAGTTAGAATAACTTGCATAAGCCTTTATCTATGTTAGAAATGTTAAAATGTTATATTTGTTAATGTTATGTGCTTCTCAATGCCATTCATGTTAAAGCCATCGTCCTCGGAGGATCATATCTTAAACCATCATCACCAAATGACCAAATTTTATAATATTAAGCAACTTTAAATCCGTGCATTTTCATAGCAGTTAATCATAGCTTTATTTTCATATCTTTCATTCATACGAGATATATCTTAAGTAATAGCTGAGGTTAACGAGTTACTTGTGGCGGTGAGATTTATTTTTACGTTAAAACAGTGGCTAGTGTTAAGCCATAGTGTTATTTGACCTTTGACCTTCAAGACCACCCAGGTTACGGCTGTGGCACCGAGAGGTCATGGTTATGGCAGCGTGAGGTCATGGATTTGGTACCGAGAGGTCATGTTAGGGCCAGTGTTAGACTCAGTGTTAGGAGCAGTGTTAAGGGCGGATTTAGGGACGGTGTTGGAGGCGGTGTTAGGGTCAGTGTAAGGTTCTTGTTGTACCTGTTGAAGAATTTCCCACACTCGGGTCTTTGCTGCTTGCGTTGCCCTCTCCATCAGAGCACATGTCTGTAAGTTGTCAGTACCTTGTCCATTAGGGTAGGATAAGGGGTTTGATCCTCTCATTAGGGTAGGATAAGGGGTTTGATCCTCTTATTAGGGTAGGATAAGGGGTTTGATCCTCTCATTAGGGTAGGATAAGAGGTTTGATCCTCTCATTAGGGTAGGATAAGGGGTTTGATCCTCTCATTAGGGTAGGATAAGGGGTTTGATCCTCTCATTAGGGTAGGATAAGGGGTTTGATCCTCTCATTAGGGTAGGATAAGGGGTTTGATCCTCTTATTAGGGTAGGATAAGGGGTTTGATCCTCTTATTAGGGTAGGATAAGGGGTTTGATCCTCGAATTAGGGTAGGATAAGGGGTTTGGTCTTTACATTATGGTTATCCTTAAAGCTGGATAAGGAGCTGTTATGACAAGGAAACAGTTTTATCAAAATTCTAAAATCCTCTTCTAGCCTGGCGTGTCCCGACACTCCCAGGTGAGGTGATATATTAAGTCTTCGCCAGGAAATGATGTTTTTAGACAAGTCGTTTCCCGCTGGTGGTGGACAGTTTAAAGGGTCGTGTTGACGCTTTAGGTGTGTGAGTGTGTCTAAAAATCAGTTGTGACAACTTTGAACTCTCTAAAACAAATATAAAAAAAAATAAATCAGGTGTGGAGTTATATATAGAAGATAGAATACTTTTCATTTGTGTCACCTTAAGACTAGGAGTATGGAATGATTTCAAACGTTTGGCACTAAGAATAGGAACTTGGTGTTTGTTTACTGTGACGCCACCTACCGACTCCGCCGCGTCCTGTATTTTGTCGATGGTGTGTGAGGCTACGTCGTGAGCGGTGCCAGCGACGTGTGAGGCGGCGTCGAAAACATTGTCCGCTACGTCTGAGATCTTGTCACCGACGCTTTCCGCTGTGTCTGAAACCTAGTTGAAGATCAGAAGGAAAGAGAGGATGTTAGCCCGGTGTGTGTGTGTGTGTGTGTGATATCTGAAAATCTTGAAACATTTTTGCCTTAACTTTTTTCTTAGTACTATGGTTAAATCAATATTTCACAGAAAGTGAGTTAAAGGGATCTGCAGTAGTTTGGCCCAAGATGAGGATGGTGGCATTAAAGTGTTACACCATCACCACACATCCAGAAGGAGGTGCATATAGAGAGAAGGGTACTCACATGTCCCCACTGATGTTCCAACCAATCACCTAAGGAGAAGTCATCGTCATCACCTCTCTCTGGCTCCACTCCGGTGCTCAAGTCCACGTGCTGGCCACCACCACCCAGGGGCTCCACGCCATGAGAAAGTTCCGACACGTCTACCCCCTTATTGCCGTATTGGTACTGCTTATACCCGCTGCAAATATTACAACGCCCATTTAAGAAAAGTATTCAATAGCTGTGGGATTTTTTGTATTGTGCATGCACGCGCGCGCGCGTGTGTGTGTGTGTCCCCTCTAGTCTTTCAGTGTGTGTGTGTGTGGGTTCGCACACAGGGTGGTGAAATGTATATAGTGTAGCAGCTTTATGTTAGTGTTCAGGTGGAAGTACTGCTTGCCCTATGAAGTGGCCCTTTAACCGTTGATTCTTGATGAGTTAATGAGGCTGGAACATGAAAAAGTATATAGGGTCTTAGTAGCGAAACCCAACTGTCCCTTCTGTATTTATTGAGAAAATATATTATATACAGTTCTAAGTGTATATCACCGTAACTTAATCACTGTAGCTATGAGTGTTAAATGAGGACGGAGGCTATATTAAAGAGCTCTTCTAAAATACGTCATGTTGGTGTGAGGGGTTGAGTGAGAGTGCCTGCAGTAGCCGGCTTCTATGTGCTGACATAACATTCTTAGGGCCGCTCCTTGAAGGAACTTACCTATCACGTGATGTGACCATGTCACCTCTGGTGGACCCTCAGCTGTTTTGGACGTCCACCAAAATTCATCGACATTGTAAGGCAACTCCACGATGGCATGAACGGCAGTGTCCTGCACAATGGCACCCAGTCTGAGTCTTCCCCATCCTAACGGGGGTTAATCAAGGGTGTGTACTGACACCAACTCTCTTTTCCATTTGCTTGGCAGCCTTCCTCACTCGTGCCAGTGTCAATTTAGCCAGCGGTGGACATCGATTACCGGCTGAAAAGTTTTTTCAATATATGACGACTCCAGGCAGGAACAAAGGTGTCGGCAGCTTCCATAACTGAACTTCAGTATGCAGTCGACCTCACCTTTGTCGCTCACACTGAATGCGACCTACAGGAGATCCTGAACACCTACACAGATGCGTATGCACACTTCGGCCTTGAGGTGATTATAAGTAAGACTCAGATTCTCTTTCAGCCTGCCCTGGTTCAGACATCTATCCACTTTCAGTATCTCGGCTCCCGCCTGTCCACCACCGCGGACATCGATGAAGAGATTCAACATCGGATCAAATGTACATATCAAGCCTTTGGCAGACTCTGAAACCACGTCTTCAGTTGTAGGGAGTTAAAATTATCAACAAATTTACACGTATATCGAGCAGTGGTCCTCACCACCCTTTTATATGTCAGCGAGACATGGGTCACATATAGGTGGCACCTTAAGGCACTTGAAAACTTTCACCAACGTAGTTTATGTTCCATCCTTCGAGTTCGCTGGGAAGACAATAGAACAAATGCCAGTATTCTTGTTGACACCAACTGTAGGAGCATTGAGGCTACAATTATCCATGAACAACTACGCTGGACTGGCCATGTTACCTGTATGGACGACAGTAGACTGCCAAAGCAGCTACTTTACAGTCACCCAACGAATAGTAAACATAACGCTGACGGGCAGCTGAAAAGGTATAAGGAGAGTCTTAAGACAAACCTGCCAAACCTGAAAAAGTGCCAAATTGACTCCCTCACCTGGGATACGATTACTCCAAACCGTAACGGTTGGAAGAGCACCATATAAGAAGGTGTAAATATTTTCGAGTTTGCCTGACTCCAAAACGATGCAAACAGCCACCAACGCCGGAAAGACGCTACCGCCTCCCCTCCCGCACTAGATGTAGTGCCCCACATGTGTAACATTTGTGAACTACCCTGCTGGTCACCTCAAAACTCATCCTTAGGTGGCATCCTTAATAACTCATACCATTGTATCATAGCTGGATGATCGCCATACTCGATTCCAAGTGACAGCAAAGTAGTAAGCAGTACAGTCTTCTACCTTTCTCATCATCGCCTCATCACCTATTTCCCCATATTCTTCCACTTACAAACATTTACAACTCTCTCTCTCTCTCTCTCTCTCTCTCTCGCAACAAAAATATTTTTATATCCGAATCCGTCGTTCCTGCCATCTTCGTCCTGAGTGTGGTCAATTTGAGACTGACCCTACTGGTGAGACTGGACAATGGACATGGCGTTTGTTCTTCCTCGAGGGCAGATTGTGGTAGTTGTTGTTGGAATGCATCTCGAGAACCGTCGGGTGGTGCTCGAGGATAACCCCTTGTTCTTCACTCTTGTGTTGGTCGAGGTCCTGCTCAGCACTCAAATTATGAAGAAGGATGTTGTCGGGTTTTGCTAACGCCAGAGACTGACGTAACACTTGGCGGGCAGCGCCTGTGTCCATGTTGACGGAGTAGATTTTGTTGGCTATCTGTTGTACGGTATCGTTTGCGGAGATCGACTCATCTTGGCATGGGAGGCCCTTGACATCGGTGTGTAGCAGCTGTACGATCTGTTGTACGATTTTACCGTATCTGGTACAACAAAATACGTGACTTACAAGTCAGGTATATAATGTTTAATTGAGCAGGCAGTTCATCCCTGAGTATAGCCGTGAACCATTTACACTACTACGATTAATGTCACATAACTTAAAGATAGAGACAAGCAGGTGGATTGGGACGCCCGGTGCAGAAATTAAGGTATTATTGAAGTGTTCAGGCTCACTGTCCCAGCAGATATATTGTGCTCAACTTTGCGGATATAAATGAATTCCTGGGTGAAACACATTATGTAACAAAGATCTGTCAATATATTTACGATGTTTTGAATGATTTAAATTGTATAACATATGGATGAAACAGATATTATGCGAAATTTTATGTTATGTTGCTTCACTGCTGGAAATTAAAATCCTTTAATTATAATTTTTATTGGACAAATTGGAAAGTTATATTTTTTTTGTTCAACATGCACTGCTGTTTCTATAAATAAATGCATTGACCTGGGAGTGTAAGGGCTCGTTTACACGATCAGTTACCACGTATGGTGGTTGCGCACGCCTCGGATCAGTGGCGAAGCAAGGGGTCGGAGCAAGGTACTGACCACTGTTTAGTGGACGGTGTGATTACACGGAACTCGATTCCCGGGCCGGTGGAAGTTGTTTGGACTTACTTCCTAGCCCCCATTAGTCCCTGTTCACCTATCAGTAAAGTAGGTACCTGTTGTAAGTCGAAAGTTGCGAATTCGTATTCAGGGACAAGTTGTTGGAGCTTCCAATAACTTGATGACATAAGCCATTGACTCTTCAGGCTTCTATGCCCTTGACTCTTCAGGCTTCTACGCCCTTAACTCATGAGACATAAAGGCAAGCATGAACTTAGCATGCTTCCGCGTTGGGCACTGTAAACGCTTCTGCGCTTCACCTTACACAAGGATGTAGGGGAGTGCCCAATCAATAATAATAATATAAAAAAATTACACGGAACTGCCACACCATCGTTCCAGATCAGTGTGTGGTAGACTACTGGGCAAGAGGTTCATGGCTCCCAGACAGACGAGTCGGCAATGGACGGCCTCACTGTTGTGTGTTTTGGCTGCTGGCATGATACTGAAGAAAAAACAAGAAACGGACTGTGTGGGTGAAAAACTGGTTAAGGAACAAATCGTGTGGTACTTATAACCAAATCTTTGCTGAAATGCAGCGTGAGAACACACAGGACGTGCAACGATACATTCATGACCCCTGAAATGTACAACACACTCTTGGATAAAATGTGTCCACATATTTCCAGGACGGATACAAATATGAGGGACTCTATAAGTCCAGGAGCAAGACTGGAGGTGACCCTCAGGTATTTTGGCAACCGGAGCAAGCTATGGAAGCCTGCAGTTCACGTCACGAATCTCCAAGAGTTCTCTCACAAATATTATTCCCGAAACTTGTGAAGCCATTTACAAAACGCTACGGAATGATTACCATAAGGTAACAGTTTGTGTGTTTTATCAACGTCCAGTATGATAACGGTGTGCACGTACCCACAATGATACTGTCGAATAATGGATTGTATTACCGTGTTCCATCATTACATTAATAGCTTTACACGGCAATGTGTGCATGCAAGCAGTACAGTACGTTTGTATACAGAGGTATGCATGCATGCACATATTTACATTTTTCACATAACTATACAGGTCCCATAAACTTTACATTTTTCGTTTCTATTTCTGTATCCATCACTTCTGACCTGCCAGAGACATGGCCGGTCCCTATACAGCTCAATAAGTTGTAACGTTAACGTCTTGTCCACTCAAATGGTGGCCTTGACTCCTGAGGTTAACTGGTGGGAGGTGTTGGCGACGGCACAACGTCCATCATTACTTTTAACTTGCGCGTCTGTGTGGTGTGGCAGGGACCCACGTAGGTGGCCGCGCAACTATTAGGCTCCCACACGTAACTGCCCAGGAAGGGTTGGTGGTTCAGTGTTGCCGTCTACACGATTACTGCCCGAGCACGGCTTCGTTACCATGCTTCGGAAACATACTCCGAGACTGATCGTGTAAACGAGCCCTTAGGCCAGCACTGGGTTGGGTTAGGTTAGTTTAGCCTGAGTAGGGTTAGGTTAGGTTAGGTTAGGTTGAGTAAGGTCAGGGTAGGTTAGTTTAGTTTAGGAAATAAAATCTAGTTTGAAAGAGACAGAATTTAGTGAGACCGAGATAGGATGTTACGATACGGGAAGAGTATTTAGCGAGACCCAGAGACAGTGAAAACGTTTACTCACACTATGTTCTTGATCTCGCCCTTGTCCTCGCCCTCGGGCTGCCAGTCAGGGTCGTCGTCAGAGCTCCACAGCTCGTCCTCGTCCTCGGGCTGCCAGTCAGGGTCGTCGTCAGAGCTCCACAGCTCGTCCTCGTCCTCGTCCTCGTACTCAGGCTGCCATTCGGGGTCGTCAGCATAATCCCACAGCTCGTCCTCGTCTTCGTCCTCGTCTTCGCTACAAAATAGAGGAGTTGCGTTGCCAAAAGTGTGTATACTAGTGATCATGGTAGCCAGGTGACTACAATGTATACTAGTGATCATGGTAGCGAGGTGACTACAATGTATACTGATGATCATGGTAGCCAGGTGACTACAATGTATACTGATGATCATGGTAGCCAGGTGACTACAATGTATACTGATGATCATGGTAGCCAGGTGACTACAATGTATACTGATGATCATGGTAGCCAGGTGACTACAATGTATACTGATGATCATGGTAGCGAGGTGACTACAATGTATACAGTCATCGTGGAAGGAACACAAACAGGATTGTATTAAAAGTTAAGAAGGTCACCAATTATTGTCCCAGATGACGGATCGAATTAAAATTCCCAACATTGAAAAAGAGTTGAGAACTATGACAGATTTTAAGGACAGGGAAAGACCACTTTTGTACCCCACCCTAACTCCCACTAAACAAAATCATAGTTGTTTCAATAATAATAGTTTATTTGCTAATTAATTGAACCGTGAACTAAAGAGTTTAATGAGGATTTTTCATTTTGTTTTGTCTTTGTAAAGGAGTAACAGAGATAGAGGGAGAGAAGAGAGAGTGATAGTGGGCGATAAATAGAGAGAGAAGGGTAGAGAGGGAGAGAGAGAGAGAGAGAGAGAGAAGAGAGAGAGAGAGAGAGAGAGAGAGAGAGAGAGAGTACCGTGAATTTTAGTCTTGGCTTTTATCTAGTAAAACCATAAAGCCTTCTATTGCTACTTACTAATGGTAGTCTTCAGCGGTTGGCACCCAATCAGGGTCTTTGATCAGGTCATCTCCGTCGCCTTGTTGCTCTTCTTCCACCTGCTTGACCTCTTGCACCTGGGTTGGCACATTAGAGAAGGAAACCTTACCCTTGATAACACTAGCATGACCGAAGCCGGCCAGGTAAACCAAAATCACCACCACGAGACACACCACCGCCTTCATGATGATGTTGTCTCTCCAAACTCCTGTGGTAATAATAATAATAATGATAGTATTAATAATGGCAATAATTATAATAATGTTGCTAATGTTTCTCTCTCTCTCTCTATAAGCATACTCGCATACACAAGTGTCGTATTCTTGTTCAATTTCTTTCAAGATATTTGTTTTTCACTCTACAAGTCTTGTTGCTTGTAAAGTTAACAGAAACAGATAGCAAATACTACTACTACTACTACTAATAATAATAATAATAAACATAGCAACAGAAATGCTGCCCTGAGGAGAGACGTGTGGACAATGACCTACTTGAAAAAAAAATGATCACACAAACGCGGACAATTCGGTAAATTGAAATTGTTAAAATTTAAGGATATTAACACTTCCTGCTGTACTCGAATCGTTTATAAATCATTTAATCACTTGATTGAGCATAGTTATTTCCAGTTCCAGAATAACCAGAGATACTGTACAACTTAAGACACCAAGACCTATTAAAACAACTCCTGATGCGCTCCTCTCAGTCCCAGACCTCCATAAAATATCATAGTGTGAAGGTGTGGGACAACTTACCCCCACCCATAAAAACAAGAACTACGCTCCCTTACTTTGAATCATCACTTAAAGATATATATATTTAATGTCTAAGTATTAGTATTTTTTAACACGTACTTTACTATAACATTGGAAACTATTAATCTTATATTTTCACGTTGATAGAGATTACCATTGCAATAGTATATATTTAGCCGTCAAGACATGATCCTGGCTGTCTGTGTGTCCTTTATTTCACTCCACACTCTTCTGCATCACTTCCACCCCCTTATCCGATTACTGTATATCAGCTCTACTGAAAGTATGTGTATATACTCATGATATAAATGTAAATAATAATAATAATAATAACAATAATAATAATAATTTAAACTTCCACTGAACCTCTGTCAGCCTTGTCACTAGCCTTTATTGATTGATTGATAATAATAATAATAATAATAATAAGGTAAAGTTTTGAGGCAAGGTTATGGAAGCAGGGAAATAACTATGAGCTGAAAGATTAGCGTCATTGATCTGCAGGAACCAAAGGTCTAGACTCCAGACAACAATGAATTTGTACAAAATCAGGATAAGAGGGTATGGGGTACACATCTAGAAGCGTTTGTAACAGAAGTAGCTACATAATCTTACAACTATATCTTGCATATGTGAAATCTCACTTGGATTATACGATTTAACTTTAGTCACCGTACTATAGAACGGATATTGATTCCCTAAAGATAATTCCGGACATTACGATCCTGGAGTATAAAGAAAGATTCAGAAAACAGAATTTGTATTCTCTTGGGAGACATAGAGTGCGAGGCGCTACGATCGGTATGTGAATGGAAGTTGGGCTCAAAGAAAAATGATATAAATAAAGTAATTAAACTACCAAGTAATGATTGAACACGTAGCATCGGTTTCAGTTTACATAAATTTCGATTTAGAAAGGAATTAAGTAAACATTTGTGTGTAAATTGAGTTGTGGATGAGTGGAACAAGTTACCAAATACCATCATTAACTTAGACTCGTTGGGATATTTCAAATATTAGTTGGACAGATATATGAATAATATTTGTTTGAGATAAATAGGGCTACCGAGCAAGGATCAATATGCTCGCCCCAGCTTCCTTCATTCTTATGTTCTTATTAAGAGAAAGAGAAAGAAGGTGATGGTACACATACCTAGGATAGTGTCAACTGAGAGGATATGGTGTCAGCGGTGAAGAGGTGGCACTGGTACTGTCCTTAGTGTCCCTCGCTGCTCCCTGCACCCGATGATCACATACTCCCCCCTCCCCCCCACGCCTTTCCCTCCTGCACTCCAAAAAGGATGGGTGAGTAGGTACGGTGAGGGGGAGCGGGGGGGGCGGGGGGGCGGGGAGGGAAGGAGGTGTTAGCCCCGAGAATCCTGTAGCAGTGTTGTAATGTACTCAAGTTTTCTCTCTTCTCTAAGCTCAACACATGAAAAACACAGCTTAATTTACGGTTTTATAGCTTTTATTTCACACAAATGTAAGGCTTCCGAATGATGCGTTATGGAACAGCTTTATGTAGCTGAGAAACAAAACAAAAAGTAAACGTCCGGATGTGTGTGTGTGTGTGTGTGTGTGTGAAACGCTCTTATCTTTGTTAACACGAACACCTGTTTCTCACACCTGCCATGACATAACCCTTTGTCATAATAAGCGTAATTAGAGGTATGGATATTTTATTACAATATTCGTGGAATTATTCAAAAGGCTTAACAATAACAACCTGAGAAACGAGACACAGAACAACTCGACTCAGTTTATCTAGGGGTCGTAACATCCTGAAGTATATAAAGGCGTTGTGCTTTTGTCTTAGTGCTTAATTATGACTCTTATATGATCACTCCTCCCCTCCCCCCTTCTCTACTCCCTATGTCTCCTCATCCCCTTTTCTCTCTCTCTATATATCCCTCGATCTCTCCATTCCCCTTCTCTCCCTTTCTCCGTCTAACCTACTGTACCTACCTCACTCTTACTCTGGACAGTTTTGGTGATGTCTTTTAAAAGTTCATCTTGAGAGGCTATTAAGAAGTCTTATATACAGGTAACATTACGTGGGTCTCTCTTTCACTTCGTCTAAGGAGTGATTGAAAAAATTTGTACAGAATTTGCTATTTGTAGTCTTAGATATTGTCGCTATAGTACTTGTAGTAGTACTGCTAGTATTACTACTACTACTACTACTACTACTTTTTTTTTAACGTGGCCTCCAGCCTCCCCCAATAGCAACACCTTCGCCACTATTTTATTACATTAATATTAAGTATCCTAATACATAAGTAGCTATCCTAGCTGTGTTGAATTAGTTGAGCCGCATGTCTATGCGGCATTCAGTGACTGTAGCCTCATAGTCAATATCTGCAGCTGTTGTCGGCTTTGGGGCAGATGCTCTCGTTCCCCTGAGGCAGAGCAAAGCCGACCGAAGGAGAGAGAAAGACAGTCGACATCTCATCCAGGCTGTAACATAACTTCTGGGCTGCTGCTTCTGTTCGGAGATCAACTCCGCGAGTCTGGCATAGAAACATCTTGCACTTGGTCCCATCCCCCCAGAGGTTGTGAACACTAGAGGAGTGAAGCTGCCTTGATCAACGTTCTGAATTCTCTCCCCGTATGCCCTTATCTTGCTGTTCTCGTTCCTACTGTGTGCCGCACCGAGAGCTAAGTTATGGTAACATGCAGCCATGGGATCAAAAATCCTGATGTCGAAGAAGGCTCGCTGTCCCCGCGTCCAGAATCCGCGCACACTGACGTCAACACGGGCTTCGTTGGATGTGTTTGAAGTCCTATGTTGGAAGATCTCACCGTCCAATGGAAGGAGGGTCGGTTCTACCATGACATTACGGCAGATTTCCTTCAACATATTTGCTGTGAGATCCCTTACTTCGTCATGCCTCATGTAAATGAAGCCCCCTTTCTTGCACACCATGGCGTGATCGACGTCATAGGTAGAGCCACACACGCATTGGGAGGGCAACCCTTCTACTGGCCGACCGTACCTTAGAGCAATGACATCTGTAAATTCTTGTTTATTGAGACTGAAACCATTTGCCCTTATCGGTAACTTAGTTAACCACTTCGAGGCGCCCACCTCCTGCGCTGTAGCTACTTTTTTTTTCAAATTCTCTGATACCTGCAGCAACAGTTGCTGCAGCTTATCACTTTGGCCGTGCTATCATTCTGTCGTAATGGACCTACGAATCTTGTTTACTTCACTGGTATCCACCTCCCCTGTTGCGTTCTGGGCTATTTTGTGGTCCGTGAGGGCTGCCGTAAGCTTAACTGAATTTTGATGTTCGGTGGCAGCAATCTCCTTTGGATTGGTTAGTCCCATTCCTTCCAGTCTTGATGGAAGTGCAAGGAGTGATCTTTCTGCTGGGGTTAATTCAGGGTGTTTCACTAATTTGGGAATGAAATTGACACTGATAGCTTCTTCCAGAGGGTGGAGGAGGGGTCCGATATCAGGGATAGTACGCATCAGGTAGTTCCAGCGATGCTTGACTCCATGGGTGAATGCTGCAAGACCCGCATGTGGCTCTGTGTTAGCAATCTCAGACAGAGCTTGGATTCCCTAACCCACTCATTCACCTTTCCCGCTACGTACTCGGTCTTGAAGTCCGTAGTGCCAATTACTGCGCCTAGATGTCTTTGGCCATCCTTTGTTGTTTTGACCTCACTTCCGCCAAACACCTCCATTGCCCGGTCATAATGTTCTGGCTTCACAATGAGGAAGGACTTACTGGCGTTTGGGTGGTACCCTATTTGTGGACCTCGCGATGTAACCAAGCCCCACCACTTTTTGATGTCCTCCACTTTTCCTGCTCCTGTAAGGTCATCAACGTACGCCACTTGTTTGACCTAAGTTGTTTCAAATTTTATTTCGTGTTGTTCCCTCGGTTGACTGTAAGATGGTACCACCTCTTAGAGCCTTGTTGTTTACTATCTACTACTACTGTTACTAATAATAATATTAATAAAATTAATAATAACAATATTAATACCAATAAAACTCGATGGTCTAATTGAGTATTAGAAGTTCTAAAATAAATCATTACTATTTCTTGGTTTTAAAAGTTCAAACACAGACACAAAGGTTTTAAATTTCGTCAGAGCTGCTAAGGATGTTACATGTTGTTTTAACCTTTGTGAGTTAGTGTATGACCTCACGTTGGTTTTCCCGAGAGTCATCCAGCTGGTGTTTTGTCGTGCTTATCTCAGCTACTTATTACTAGTTCCATTGTTGTCATAAACTTAGGGATTCGGCAAGGATTTTGTGTACTGGTATACCCTGTTGTCACACATGTAGACACACAGCAAGTATTTTCCACCTAAACAATGACGTCTAATTGGCTAATCATTTATGAGACTCATAATCCAAACAACATGATGTATGTGAGAAAAGTTATAATTTGATGATGAAAGCCAAATTATAAATATTTCGCTCTTACAACGGTGGGTAGCGCCGGCCCTGGATGGAGGTCAACTATTAAGCCACGCCTACCTCCGCTATATATAAGACCTGACCTAGTGGTGACCTCTCTCTTTCTACCTACAGCCAGTCTTCAAGTAACACCACCTCCTACGCTCCTGCCTGGCGGCCCTCGCTCCCGCCGGCGAGCATGGCGACCCACAAGCTGGTCTTCCTCTGAGCATCCTCATCAACCAGCTCTCTCTACATCACGCTGCCTCGTCCCAGCATCAGCCACCAAGCTGCATTGTACATCCAATATAACCAGCAAGCAACACCTCCTCCACCTCCCCGCTCCTGCCTGGCGGCCCTCGCTCCCGCCGGCGAGCATGGCGACCCACAAGCTGGTCTTCCTCTGAGCATCCTCATCAACCAGCTCTCTCTACATCACGCTTGTAACCACGCTGCCTCCTCCCAGCACCAGCCACCAAGCTGCGTTGTACATCCAATATAACCAGCAAGCAACACCTCCTCCACCTCCCCGCCGCTGCCTGGCGGCCCTCGCTCCCGCCGGCGAGCATGGCGACCCACAAGCTGGTCCTCCTCTGAGCACCCTCACCAACCAGCTCTCTCTACTCAACGCTTGTAACCATGCTGCCTTCCCAGCACCAAGCTGCATTGTACATCCAATACAATATGTATACAGAGAGCACGTTGTGAGTTTCCTTTCTCCATCCCATCCTGAGTGTGAACCCAACATAACGTACCCACAGAACCTTCTACTCGGTGGAGAGTGAGTTTTCAAAAATGCAATCGCGTCTAGCACAAAAATCCTACATAGATTTACACTTTCACATCACTAAGACGATCTTGATGATCTTATGTAATCACTGTCCAATGTCTGCCGCTCAACAAAGAAAACCCGAATGTCGAACACGTTCTTTTACAGACATTCAACACAACCTGACCTGCGAGCTGAACGCCTAACTGGGCACGCATCCAAGGAAGGCAGATGCCACCCACAGAGATATTCTAGCTTCTCAGTTCCCCCCAAGACTCTCTTCAGCTCATAGCAGCCTCTAAAACAATAGTTTAGTTCCCTTTTAAAGTTTAGGTAATCACTATTCTTGGGTATCGCTATTCTTAGCATACGGGGCTAGCTTAGGTAATTATATTATATTTTTCTATAGTATATATTAATTACAGGGATTTAATCTCTGCAAGAGGTAAATTAGAAAAAAATGATGCAATACATTCTAGAATGTTCTTACATAATTAATACATCAATATCATCAACGTATACACGAAAATTTCATTAAATTTACCCAAAATAGCATACACCATGGGACAGAAAATAATCATATCACCAAGTTTACAAGATTATAATACAAAATTATTCCTCGTCACATCAGTGTATGTAGGTACTGTATGAATAAAGGCAAATATCCATGTATTTGTTTACCTGAGCGGTTCATGATGTAGCGAGCTGGTGGAGGTGGCAACACTGCGTCTCAGCTCACAGGTGTAAACAAACATGAGTCAAACTAGCAGGTTTAGCGAGCTGGTGAGGTGGCAACACTGTGTCTCAGCTCACAGGTGTAAACAAACATGAGTCGACCACAAGACGCTCCTCACAGTGAGTTATATAAATATTTCTCATTAATATTAATCTAGGCCTATATATGCTTTCTACCGTGAATTATATTAGCTGTTATATTAATCTAGGTCTATGTTTCTCCTACTGTGAGTTATATTAGCTGTTATATTAATCTAGGCCTATATATGCTTTCTACCGTGAATTATATTAGCTGGAGAAAATAGTATATTTACATTTTTAGTAATAAATAGTAACCCAGACTGAAGTTAGGATAATATAATTGACATTTCTAGATTCCTTGCAGGTCAGGGAATATTTTGAATGTAAACCATATATTTTGCACAAACGATAAAATATTTGCTTTGTGTAAACCAAATTATTACATTAGATCTAAAATTTGTATGTCTAATGCAAAATCCATGATGTTTATATTCAAAATGATCATCATATTGTAAGAATTCCAGCAATGTAAATTATATTCTGGAAGGGTAATTTGTATGAATTTTATGAGCTAAATAAAAAATAAAAAAAATAAATTATACTTCACCGCGTATATGAGTAGATGCACCGTGGAAAGTGAAAGTCTGCAAGGTACCGCGTAAATGAGAAATCGAGAAATCGCGGAAAGTGAAACCGAAACCGTGTAAAGCGGGGTAATACTGTATATATAATATTGCTTAACAGAGAATTCACATTTTTTCTTACAAAAGTATTTTTCATAGGTTTTTGGTTTAATACAATCAGTAGTCATGCGTTTTGTTTGCCCGCAAATTTGTGAAATGTACCTTACCCTAACGTAACTTTACCTAACTTAACCTAATCGGTAAATTTTCAGGGCTAACCCGTGGGTGAATTTGAGCTAAAACGAATATATAAACGCCGGATTTTCACTTGTTTTTTTTTATAGTGGACACTGTTGTGCAAATGTGTTAAAAATGGATAGGGTATTTATAAAATTAACGTTACTTAACATTTGTTGGTATGAAAAACAGACCTAACCAAACAAACCTACCTAACTTCCTTACTGGGGGACTCTGCCCCACCAGACTCCCCGGTATATTAAACAGAAAGAACTTACTATGATATGGTGAAATTTGGGGCTTTTTCTGTATGTGAATTGATACGGCCGCATCAGCGTTTATGCAGCCCGGGCGGCGGAGTGATTTATTGTGATGATGGGAAACGTCAAGCGTTGAAGAAGTGATGAACAAACTTCTTTCCAGTCTGAAAGCACAGGCATTCCCGCAGTGTGGACAGTCTCTATTTAAAGGAACAATGCCGAGTCTTTGAACAATTGAAGGGTCTCGCTGTCTTTATCCCTAAATTTGCTGAAAATGAAACTGCCACGAGCCTGAGGAAAAGCGCTGCAGCATAGCAAAGCCTCATTACCGCTGGGAAGACAAATTAGTGCGCACCTAGGTGCCTAATTATCTACAAAACGAGACATTTGCACAAGAAAAGATTACCATATCAGAACTCACTGATGAAAATAAATTAAGAAAATAAGCAGTAATACAAATAACACGTTGGCGGGTTACTCCTATACAGTGGTCCCTCGGTTAACGAACACAATTCGTTCCAGAAGGTCGTTCGTTAATTAAAAATTTCGTTAACCGAATCCATTGTTTCAATGGGATTTTGGATAATTGGTTCCAGCTCACCGAAAATTACATATAAAGTAAAAAAAAGGCAGTAAAGAGTAAAGTACACTTACTTTGAGGTGTGTATGTAGAAGGCTCCTGGTTGATGATGATATGAATTAGAAGTGGGGATGGAGGAGAAGGGAGAAGAGAAGGAAGTGTGGGTGGAAGAGAAGGGAGAAGAGAAGGAAGTGGGGGTGGAGGAGAAGGGAGAAGAGAAGGAAGTGTGGGTGGAAGAGAAATCACCCCATGCTTGATGCCGTCATTTCACCCATAAAATTTTAAGTTCACCGGGTGTAATTCAAGATTATTTTCTTTAAATCAACACTGCACTGTATTATATATTATCAATATGTTAAATAAATTTCAGAATGACCAATAATTGTACTGTAAAAACGTAAAAATTCTCTGTGTTCAAGAGACCCACAAGCAAGTTGTTTCCTCCACTGACGCCTTGGTGGGTGAGTGAAGTGGCTGATGGGTGCACCAAAAACTATTTCCCTGTGCTGCAATTATGTTAAATAAGTGTTAAAGTGACTTAAAATTTTAATATAAAACTTGGAAAATTATTGAATAGTATAACCTTCTTGATATTTACTCCAATTTTAACGAATGTAAGCCCTAGAACTGATTTCTGTATTGGCGGACTGATCTTCCAGCTGGTGAGCAAGCCAAAGCATGTCGAAACATTTTTGAAAGAATTTCGTTAACCAAATTTTTGTTCGTTAACCGAGAAGAAGATTCTTATGGAAGGTAATTCGTTAACCGAGGCGTTCGTTAACCGAGGGACCACTGTATATTAACCACCTAACCTAATCTTAGCTAACCTAACCTAACCTTAACATGCCTTACCTAACCTAAATTTAAAATGCATAAAGGTTTAAATTCATAATAGTGTCGTCCTAAGTTCCATTATATATCAACAGATTTATAGATATGTTGGAGAAATGACTAGAAAAAGTTTATTTCTGTAAATGTATATTTTAAAAATGAAATTGAAATTTTTCTAGATTTCTCAATTGTTTGTCATTTATGTTGCAGCTTTCTTAGGTTAGGTTAGGTTAGGTAGGGTAACATTAGGTTTGGTTTGGTTAGGTTAGATAAGGTAAGGTAACATTAGGTAAGGCTTGGTTTTGTTAGGGTAAGATACATTTCATTAGTTTTTCATAAAAAAAATTCACTACTGAATGTATTGGATAAAGAACCTATGTACATAATTCTTTTTCTAAGAAAAAAGGTTTTACCACTTAATTTTTACCCCCTTTTTTATTAGGTTTGATGAACTTAGATTAGGTTAGGTATTATTTATCTCTGAGTCACGGGTACTTATTGGGTACCTGTTATAACTTGGTCCTAGCAAAGGCAGAGTCTAGGCAAAACTGTTCACTTGAGTACAGTACAGTACACTATGGTACACTGAGTACAGTACACTACAGTTTACTACAGTACACTACAGTTTACTACAGTACACTGCAGTACAGTACAGTACAGTATAGCACAGAACACTACACTACAGTACACTGAGTACAGTACAGTATAGTACAGTATACTGAGTACAGTACAGTATAGCACAGTACACTACAATACACTACACTCAGTACAGTATAGTGCAGTACACTGTATTATACTACACTATAGTACAGTAACATAATACAGTACTGTACTACCAGAACTATAAGTAACATAATACAGTACTGTACTACCAGAACTATAAGTAACATAATACAGTACTGTACTACCAGAACTATAAGTAACATAATACAGTACTGTACTACCAGAACTATAAGTAACATAATACAGAACTGTACTACCAGAACTATAAGTAACATAATACAGTACTGTACTACCAGAACTATAAGTAACATAATACAGTACTGTACTACCAGAACTATAAGTAACATAATACAGTACTGTACTACCAGAACTATAAGTAACATAATACAGTACTGTACTACCAGAACTATAAGTAACATAATACAGTACTGTACTACCTAGAACAGTACTGTAAGTAAACTATAATAACAGTACTGTACTACCAGAACTATAAGTAACATAATACAGTACTGTACTACCAGAACTATAAGTAACATAATACAGTACTGTACTACCAGAACTATAAGTAACATAATACAGAACTGTACTACCAGAACTATAAGTAACATAATACAGTACTGTACTACCAGAACTATAAGTAACATAATACAGTACTGTACTACCAGAACTATAAGTAACATAATACAGTACTGTACTACCAGAACTATAAGTAACATAATACAGTACTGTACTACCAGAACTATAAGTAACATAATACAGTACTGTACTACCAGAACTATAAGTAACATAATACAGTACTGTACTACCAGAACTATAAGTAACATAATACAGTACTGTACTACCAGAACTATAAGTAACACAATACAGTACTGTACTCCCAGAACTATAAGTAACATAATACAGTACTGTACTACCAGAACTATAAGTAACATAATACAGTACTGTACTACCAGAACTATAAGTAACATAATACAGTACTGTACTACCAGAACTATAAGTAACATAATACAGTACTGTACTACCAGAACTATAAGTAACATAATACAGTACTGTACTACCAGAACTATAAGTAACATAATACAGTACTGTACTACCAGAACTATAAGTAACATAATACAGTACTGTACTACCAGAACTATAAGTAACATAATACAGTACTGTACTACCAGAACTATAAGTAACATAATACAGTACTGTACTAGTACAGTACTACCAGAACTATAAGTAACATAATACAGTACTGTACTACCAGAACTATAAGTAACATAATACAGTACTGTACTACCAGAACTATAAGTAACATAATACAGTACTGTACTACCAGAACTATAAGTAACATAATACAGTACTGTACTACCAGAACTATAAGTAACATAATACAGTACTGTACTACCAGAACTATAAGTAACATAATACAGTACTGTACTACCAGAACTATAAGTAACATAATACAGTACTGTACTACCAGAACTATAAGTAACATAATACAGTACTGTACTACCAGAACTATAAGTAACATAATACAGTACTGTACTACCAGAACTATAAGTAACATAATACAGTACTGTACTACCAGAACTATAAGTAACATAATACAGTACTGTACTACCAGAACTATAAGTAACATAATACAGTACTGTACTACCAGAACTATAAGTAACATAATACAGTACTGTACTACCAGAACTATAAGTAACATAATACAGTACTGTACTACCAGAACTATAAGTAACATAATACAGTACTGTACTACCAGAACTATAAGTAACATAATACAGAACTGTACTACCAGAACTATAAGTAACATAATACAGTACTGTACTACCAGAACTATAAGTAACATAATACAGTACTGTACTACCAGAACTATAAGTAACATAATACAGTACTGTACTACCAGAACTATAAGTAACATAATACAGTACTGTACTACCAGAACTATAAGTAACATAATACAGTACTGTACTACCAGAACTATAAGTAACATAATACAGTACTGTACACAGAGACTATAAGTAACATAATGCAATGCTGGCTTCCCCAGAACTATATAGTAACACAATGCAGTACTGTACTCCCCAGAACTATAAATAACATAATACAGTGCTGTACTACCAGAGCTTTAAGTAACATAATAAAGTACTGTACTACCCAGAACTATAAGTAACATAATACAGTACTGTACTACCAGAACTATAAGTAACATAATACAGTACTGTACTACCAGAACTATAAGTAACATAATACAGTACTGTACTACCAGAACTATAAGTAACATAATACAGTACTGTACTACCAGAACTATAAGTAACATAATACAGTACTGTACTACCAGAACTATAAGTAACATAATACAGTACTGTACTACCAGAACTATAAGTAACATAATACAGTACTGTACTACCAGAACTATAAGTAACATAATACAGTACTGTACTACCAGAACTATAAGTAACATAATACAGTACTGTACTACCAGAACTATAAGTAACATAATACAGTACTGTACTACCAGAACTATAAGTAACATAATACAGTACTGTACTACCAGAACTATAAGTAACATAATACAGTACTGTACTACCAGAACTATAAGTAACATAATACAGTACTGTACTACCAGAACTATAAGTAACATAATACAGTACTGTACTACCAGAACTATAAGTAACATAATACAGTACTGTACTACCTACCAGAACTATAAGTAACATAATACAGTACTGTACTACCAGAACTATAAGTAACATAATACAGTACTGTACTACCAGAACTATAAGTAACATAATACAGTACTGTACTACCAGAACTATAAGTAACATAATACAGTACTGTACTCCCAGAACTATAAGTAACATAATACAGTACTGTACTACCAGTAAGCTCTAGAGCTGCCTCACTTTACCAGGAAAGCATTACAGTAAAACCTCGATTAACCGACTTTCGGATTAACCGTCAATCCTAAACCCCTAATTTTTTTTTTTTTTTTTTTTTTACACGGGGATTAGCCCACCCGGGCACAGATCACTGACCCACACCGGGGCCTGGGGGCGATAATGTAATAATATTAATACGGTAATGATAATGCTAATAATAATAATAATAACAGTAATAAAGAACCATAAAGAAATGCAAAAATGAAAAAAAAATCAAGAGTGAGAAACAATGCACAGTGATGCCTTCGGTTAACAAGCGCCTCGGTTAACAAAATTTCGATTAACGAATTACCTTCCATAAGATTCTTCACTTCGGTTAACGAGCAAACCCTCAGTTAACGAATTCCTTACGATTTTTCCCAACTTGTTTTCGCCCGCATTTGGCTGCCCACTAGCTGTAGTATTAGTCCGCCAATACAGTAATCGGTTCTAGGGCTTAAATTCCTTACCATTTTAGTAAATATAAAGGTTGTATTATTCAATAATTTTAAAAGTATTATATAAAATTTTTTAGTCATTTTAACAATTATTGAACATAATTGAAGTATAGGAAGCTAGTTTTATGCGCGCCAAACAGACACAGTTTGGCGTCAGTTTGTTAACCAGCTCAGAGGGAGGAACATCTTGTTTGAGACTCTTCAACATAAATGCTTTTTTCTGTGTTTCCAGTCAAATTATTGGTCATTTTGAAATATATTTTACATATTGACAATATATAATGCAGTGCAGTGTTGATTTAAGGAAAATAATCTTGAATTACACCAAGTGAACTAAAATTTTATGGGTGAAATGGCAGCATGGGGTGACTTCTCTTCCACCCCAATGCCTTCTCTTTTCCCTTCTCCTCCACCCCCATTCTAATTCCCATCATCATCATCATCAACCAGGAGCCTTCTACGTGCACACCTCAAAGTAAGTGTACTTTACTGCATTTATTTTTACTTTGTATGTAATTTTCGGTGAGCTGGAACCAATTACCCAAAAACCCATTGAAACAATGGTTTCGGTTAACGAATTTTTTGGTTAACAAGCAACCTTTTGGAACGAATTGTGCACGTTAACCGAGGGACCACTGTACCTGTATGTATGTTGTCTTGTCAATAGTAAGAGAAACAATTGAGACCCTGCAATTGTGTGTAAATGAGGCAGAAAGTCAGATCAGCAACCTGGGACTTAGACTTAAATGAGGTAGGTTAGGGAAAGGTACTTTGAAAATGTATGTTTTATTTCCGTAAACTTTATGTACTATTAACCGACCTTTTCGATTATCCGTCGGCCCCTTCCCCCCATATGTGGTCGGTTTATCAAGGTTTTTCTGTATTTCTCATTTGGTGTGTATTTTCAGATTGTCCCGGCACCAATAGTGAAGATGCGGGTAAATCATCAGCCTGTGCTGGCTGTCCCAACCAACAGTTGTGCTCCTCAGGGGCTGCTACTGCTCCTGATCCAGGTACTGTGTTGTACTCTGCTGTGCTGTACTGTGCCATGTTGTGCTGTGCTGTGCCGTGTTGTGCTGTACTGTTCTGTACTGTGCTGTGCTGTACTCTTGTTAATACTTCAAGCATCTCTCTCTCTCTCTCTCTCTCTCAACATGTAAGGTACAAGTTAATTATCTTGTTATAGATGTAGATGGTGTTAAGGAGCGTCTTGCTGCCATCAAGTACAAGATCTTGGTGCTGTCTGGCAAGGGTGGAGTGGGCAAGTCTACCCTCACCGCTATGATTGCTCGGGCGATCGCTCTTCACGACTCCCACGAGGTGAGTGTTAACTGTACTCTGTGACTGTTATAACTGGGTGTGTGGTCCAAGAGAGCAGGACTGTTGTCATACAGTTAGTTATAACTCATGGCATGCTAAACCTTTTTGGAAAGCTCTATGTCTAAGCTACAAGACAATACAGTATATGAAAATTTCAGCTCTCTAGGTCTGTTTTTAAGGGTTTTAGAGCCCCAAAAAAAAAAACGAAGCTTAATTCATATAATAAAAGTTAGCGGTTAGCATTAGCTTCTGCTATTTTTTTTAGCTGTTTAGCATTAGCGAAGTTAACTTTTTAGTTAGCAGATTAGCGGTTAGCGAAGCTAACTTTTCGTTTACCTGTGCCCACCACTGCCAGTCTGTGTTACCTTGCTGTGTTACCAGTCTGTGTGACCAGTCTGTGTTACCTGGCTGTGTGACCAGTCTGTGTTACCTGGCTGTGTGACCAGTCTGTGTTACCTGGCTGTGTGACCAGTCTGTGTTACCTGGCTGTGTGACCAGTCTGTGTTACCTGGCTGTGTGACCAGTCTGTGTTACCTGGCTGTGTGTCCAGTCTGTGTTACCTGGCTGTGTGACCAGTCTGTGTTACCTGGCTGTGTGACCAGTCTGTGTTACCTGGTCTGTGTTACCTGGCTGTGTGACCAGTCTGTGTTACCTGGCTGTGTGACCAGTCTGTGTTACCTGGCTGTGTGTCCAGTCTGTGTTACCTGGCTGTGTGACCAGTCTGTGTATGTAGTGTGGAGTCTGGAGGGAGGGATGATAGGTTAGGTTAGTTTAGGTTAGGGTAGATTAAGTTATGTTAGGTTAGGTTAGTTTAGTTTAGGTTAGGGTAGATTAAGTTATGTTAGGTTAGGTTAGGTTAGCGTGAGTTTATGTTAGGTTAGGGTAGATTAGGTTAGGTTACGATAGGTTAAGTTATGTCAGGTTAGGTTAGCGTGAGTTTATGTTAGGTTAGATTAGGTTAGGTTAGGTTTGGCTTGGTTAGTGTTAGGTTAGGTTAGCGTTAGTTTAGGTTAGCGTGAGTTTAGGTTCCGTTAGGTTTGGTTCTTAAAACAGGTTAGGTTTACATTTTCTCTAATATTGCCCGTAGTACCGTCACTTTTAAACCTGTTTCGAGATATTTTATGGGCACGAGACCTGTTTTAAGAACCTAACCTAACCAACCTAACCCAGAGCCAGGCAGACAAGTAGATCATTGTTTTCTGTGGTTCTGTATGTTATCAAGTTGTTAACATTCACCACCAAGTTGCCATGGTGTAAATGGTGTGCTGACAACAATATTACAGATGTATTTTTTTTCATTAACATTTTTTACAGGTTGGCATCTTGGACATTGATATATGCGGCCCCTCTCAGCCACGAGTAATGGGCGCTGAGGAGGAAAAGGTGCATTCATCTGGAACCGGCTGGTCACCTATTGTAAGTCTAACCTAACCAAACCCAACCCAACCAAACCTAAACTTTTATCTTAAGAAAACATAGTATCACTGATTCACCCATAGTTGTACATTAGTCTTGTCAGAACAAAGATTCACAGTTTTTACAGATTTCTCCTTCATGAATAAAGTTGATTCCTACATGAACAAGGTTGATCGATACATGAACAAGGTTGATTGATACATGAACAAGGTTGATCGATACATGAACAAGGTTGATTGATACATGAACAAGGTTGATCGATACATGAACAAGGTTGATTGATACATGAACAAGGTTGATCGATACATGAACAAGGTTGATTGATACATGAACAAGGTTGATCGATACATGAACAAGGTTGATTGATACATGAACAAGGTTGATTGATACATGAACAGGGTTGATTGATTCATGAACAAGGTTGATTGATACATGAACAAGGTTGATTGATACATGAACAAGGTTGATTAATCCCCACACTGTTTGTTCTCAGTATGTTGAAGGGAACCTGGCTGTGATGTCAATCGGCTTCCTGCTCAATAATGCTGATGATGCTGTTATATGGAGAGGCCCCAAGAAAAATGGTGTGTTATATATTGTTTAGTTTTATAATTATTTGTATCGCCCATTTTTTTAAACATTGTCAAACTCAAATAACAACTCTGATGATTCTATTTCTTGTGTTACTTTAAAATAACCTGATGTTAGGGTCTTGTTGCCCCGGATGCTTAGAAAAAATAGTCATGTATATGTAGACAAATGGTAAAGTACCCAGGTAGAGGGAGTTGACTTGTGTTTGGAATAACTTGATGGTGTAAATGTTTTAATCTTTGTGCTGCTGAGTCATCCTGTGTATAAATACCTGACCAAGGGGACACACACACACACACACACACACACACACACACACACACACACAGTACAATATTGATATAGCTTGTACTGTACTGAACTCTTCTGTGTTTTACTGTACTGTACTGTGTTGTGCTGTACTGTACTGTGTTGTGCTGTACAGTACTGTACTGTGTTGTGCTGTACTGTACTATGTTGTGCTGTACTGAACTGTACTGTGTTGTACTGTACTGTACTGTCTTGTGCTGCACTGTAATGTACTGTGCTGCACTGTACTGTACTCTGTTGTGCTGTACAGTACTGTACTGTGCTGCACTGTACTGTACTCTGTTGTGCTGTACAGTACTTTACTGTACTGTACTATGTTGTGCTGTACTGTACTGTGTTGTGCTGTTCTGTACCATACTGTACTGTGTTGTGCTGTACAGTACTTTACTGTACTGTACTGTTTTGTGCTGTACAGTCTTGTACTGTACTGTGTTGTGCTGTTCTGTACCATACTGTACTATGTTGTGTTGTGCTGTACAGTACTGTACTGTGTTGTGCTGTACAGTGACCCCTCGGTTAACGAACTCAATCCGTTCCAGAAGGTCGTTCGTTAACCGAAACCATTGTTTCAATGGGTTTTTGGGTAATTGGTTCCAGCTCACCGAAAATTACATACAAACTAAAAATAAATGCAGTAAAGTACACTTACTTTGAGGTGTGCACGTAGAAGGCTCCTGGATGATGATGATGATGGGAATTAGAATGGGGGTGGAGGAGAAGGAAGAAGAGAAGGCTTTGGGGTGGAAGAGAAGTCATCCCATGGTACCATTTCACCCATAAAATTTTAGTTCTCTTGGTGTATTTCAAGATTATTTTCTTTTAATCAACACTGCACTGCATTATATATTGTCAATATGTAAAATATATTTCAAAATGACCAATAATTTGCTTGGAAACACAGAAAAAAAGCGTTTAGTTGAAGAGAGTCTCAAGCAAGATGTTACCTCCAGTGAAAACAGAGAGAGACTAACGCCTGTTTGCTGTGTTAAGAGGCTGGATGCCGCGCATTAAACTAGTCACTTTACCTTCAATTATGTTCAATAATTGTTAAAATGACTAAAAAATTGAATATTAAACTTTTAAAATTATTGAATAGTATAAACTTCTTGTTATTTCCTAAAATAGTAAGGAATTTAAGCCCTAGAATCGATTAATGTATTGGCGGACTGATACTAAAGTTGGTTGCCTGGCCAGTGCAAACGAAAACATGTTGAGGTCGGTTCGTAAGAAATTCGTTAACCAAATTTTTGTTCGTTAACCGAATTGAAGATTCTTATGGAAGGCAGTTCGTTAACCGAGGGATCACTGTATAAACATAACAATAAAGAGATATAACTTTCACTTAGCTTTGACCAGTACTGTACTATACTGTGTACTATACTGTACTGTGTACTGTACTGTACTATACTGTGTACTGTACTGTACAATACTATACTGTGTACTGTACTGTACTGTACAATACTATACTGTGTACTGTACTGTACTGTACTATACTATACTGTGTACTGTACTGTACTATACTATACTGTGTACTGTACTGTATTGTGCTGTGTACTGTACTGTACTATACTATACTGTGTACTGTACTATACTGTACTGTACTGTGTATAAAAACACAGCTATAAACATAACAATAAAGAGATGTAACTTTCACTTAGCTTTGCCCAGTAAATATGTTTATTTTACCTTGAGGAATAGATAAGTTCACTGTACATGTTTATGATACTGTTTATACATGAGTCTATATGATATAAATTAATAATCAGTTGCACCACATTGGTTAGGTTAGGTTAGTAATTGGATGGGTGACCGCTTGGCCCTAACACCACCAGACACTGGTGGCATAACAAACATCTCATGGCTTCGTCAGCTGTTCTTGGTGACGTTGAGTGAATATCAATTATTATTATTTATACACAGTGGTTCACCAAGTCTCAGCTGTAATTGCTTAATAATAATAATCCTCCACATCTGGTCTAGGTTATGTTAGCAGAAACATTTAACTTTCTGGATTATGGAAATTTGGTCTCAGTACTGGGTTGTTCATTATACAGAGGGTCCTCTACTAAGAACATTTGGCTTAGAAACTTTCAGAGATACAAACATCATCATTGAAGGAAGTTACCTTCTCGAGCGGGTGTTTAATGTGGACAAGACTGGATTATTTTGAATATAATTCTAGATGGGACATACTTTACCTAAGAGGAGAAGAGTGACCCAGGTTTATAGACTGTATTGTTGTGTATAGCTGTACTAAACAGCAATTATCTTTTTTACAATATGTCTGGTATCTACAAGAGTAAAGTTGGACTTACAAACAAGCCTCAGGAACACAACTTGTTTGTAAGTAGAGGAGTGCGTGTATAGGCATGCTTGCTACATGTGATTCACCCAATCCTTTGCTTGAGTTTTAAATGACTTTTATTTGTGAAAATGCTGAAGGTCTTGGGGGAGACTCCTGTATGTACAGTCCCCTTCACTAGTGTGTTTACAGGGGCTCGTCATATAGCCTGGGTACAGTCCCCTTCACTAGTGTGTTTACAGGAGCTCATCATATAGCCTAGGTATAGTCCCTTTCACTAGTATGTTTACAGGGGCTCATCATATAGCCTGGGTACAGTCCCCTTCACTAGTGTGTTTACAGGGGCTCGTCATATAGCTTAGGTACAGTCCCCTTCAATAGTATGTTTACAGGGGCTCGTCATATAGCCTAGGCACAGTCCCCTTCACTAGTGTGTTTACAGGGGCTCGTCATATAGCTTAGGTACAGTCCCCTTCAATAGTATGTTTACAGGGGCTCGTCATATAGCCTAGGCACAGTCCCCTTCACTAGTGTGTTTACAGGGGCTCATCATATAGCCTGGGTACAGTCCCCTTCACTAGTGTGTTTACAGGGGCTCATCATATAGCCTAGGTACAGTCCCCTTCAATAGTATGTTTACAGGGGCTCGTCATATAGCCTAGGCACAGTCCCCTTCACTAGTGTGTTTACAGGAGCTTGTCATAGAGCCTAAGTACAGTCCCCTTCACTAGTGAGGTATTTATTTTAATATTGTTTTAATTTGATTCCATAGTGTGTTTCCTCTTGCGAGTTTCCTTCTGTCCATTGTTAACAAACACAGAACTGCCACACTGCACAAAACTTGATGAGCCCCTGTAAACGCACTAGTGAAGGGGACTGTGGATGTCGGTAACACTAGAATAACTCATTATAGTACATCCTTCTTTCCTCACACAGCCAAACTGTGGAATGCTTTGCCTTCTTCTGTGTTTCCATACTTATACAATCTGTCGCACTTCATAAAGCTGGTTTTCTGGCATCTTCGTGGTGTAGATTAATTTGGTCTTTTTCTTTTCTATTTTTAATTTCTTTTTATTTCTTTTTTTGCCCCCCAGGCCCTGTTGTGTGTCCATGACCTGTGCCAGGGTTGGCTATTCCTCGTAAAAAATAAATAAATAAATAAATAAAAATACGACAAGCTCCTGTAAACACACTAGTGAAGGGAACTGTGCTTAACAAATGCAATTTCTAGGATTAATTACTTACACCTTGACTCTCACAACCAGGAATGATCAAACAGTTCCTACGGGACGTGGACTGGGGTGCTCTGGACTACCTGGTCGTGGACACACCGCCTGGGACAAGTGATGAACACCTAAGCATCGTACAGTACCTCTCTGCTGCACCGCCCGTTGCTGCGGTTATCATCACGACACCGCAGGTCAGACCTAACCTGTCGCTCTTCCCTTTGCTTTATTTTTATTACGGGTTGGGCCCCACTAATCCGGGACCCAATAGTGTGGCAGCTTCGATGGTTCGGGGCGCATATAGTCAATGCTTAATCTTGTAAGGAAAATTAGCCTATGTTCTACAACTACTAAAAGTCAACAGTAATGCTATAAAAGTTATGGAAAAATTATTACAGTTATCACAACCTGTACTAAAATACTGTATGTACGTACTAAGTTATTTACTAAAATTTTATGTCTTGTGCAAACTATGGGATGTTTATACTCAAATTAATCGCTATCTTGCAATAATTCTAACAATGCAAGTTATATTCTGTTAAGTCAAGTCGGTGACATTTTATAATAGAAGAACTTACTCCCTGTCATTTATCCAAGGTCCTTCCTGACCCCTCAACTGATACTACACACCACCAGGCTCCTGGCTGTCAACACCCCACCTTTCCCTCCCAGCCAGCAGGAGAGGCAGATGGTGGTGGTGGGTGATAATGATTAATGGGATGAAGGTGAATTAGTCTTAATGTTCTTGTCTTATAAAATGTCACAGACTTGACTTAGCAGAATATAACTTGCTTTGCTAGAATTCTTGCAAGATGGTAATTACTTTGAGTATAAACATCTCATAGTTTGCACAAGAAATAAAAATTTTAGTTGTTTAATTTAGTACATTTGAGTACAAAATGAGTACAGTAATGTGTTGCTGAAAATTATGGCTTTTTCACAGGGAAAAGTCTGTATAACTAACCCCAGTGGTCAGGATATTATGACAATGAGTGTTACAGAGTATTTCAAATAAATTCTCTGTTTAGTTCTGTACATACCCCTGTATATGCAAATTCCCATATAGTGAATGGCAGAAAGCAAGGGTCCAGTGTACAGTAAACGTGTGCCATAGCACTAACACCTTATCATAAAGGTCTAGTAACCCTGGGCTAGATTTATACTGATGTAATTTGTATTGATACCAGAATTGGTACATTTTATGCATTATTTTACCCTTTTTTAACCTCGGCTTCGATGGTTCAGAATTTTTGCTAATCCGGAACCGGTCTGGTCCCAAGCTTCCCGGATTAGTGAGGTCCAACCTGTATTATTATTCGTATTATTATTATTATTATTATTATTAGAGTATAGCCTTACAAGCTAATTTATCCCAGAAAACTTTACACACATCATACTCCCTTCCTATCATCCATTCTCTCCACCTGTGTACAGTATTATGATAAGTGTATTATTACATTCTATCTTTTATGTTGAATGATGTATGGATGGTGAGTGAGGTGGCTAAAGGACTATACCCATTGTGTCTGGTAAGCAGTGCCTTGGTATGTTGTAAGCAGTGACGGGGTATGTTATATATATATATATATATATATATATATATATATATATATATATATATATATATATATATATATATATATATATATATATATATATATATATTGATTATTGAAACATGCAAACATTTCTATAAATTTGGGGGCCTATTGATGAGTTTGGCCTGGGGCCCTCAAGTAGGTAAATCCGGCCCTGGTCACTCCCTCTCCGTTTTGTGCTAGCTTCTACACGCTTAATAAATGTTAAATTCATTTATGTTTTTGACCTTATGATAATTATATTTTTTACTTTTTTATTGCACTTTCTGTATGAACAATTGTGTATGTATGTAACAGAGCTTGACTGGAGGCTGAGATGCCGACACCTCACCCTCCTCCTCCCACAATCCACACTAACTCACAGGGATGTAAAAAAAATAATCCCTTTATGTTTTTGACCTTATAATAATCATTTGTTGTTTGTTTTTTTGCACATTGTGTATGACAGCTTGTGTGTGCATGTAAAAGAGTTAAAAAAAATTTAAGAAAATTATGTCTACCCAAAATTACTTGTAGTGACAGCTAATTATGTCTACCCAAAATTACTTGTAGTGACAGCTAATTATGTCTACCCAAAATTACTTGTAGTGACAGCTGGGGGATTGCAACTTACTACAGAACACATACATATCATGTAGGGTAAATTTAAAAAATCTTTCTTTTGTGCAAACTTATTGTTTTTTGTCTTGACTCACACTTGAAGGGCCTGTATGGCAAGGATAATGAGGTCCCAAGGCACAGGCTTGCCAATCGGAAATCTCTTTTGTGCTGCTAAATAAAATTTTTGCTCTTCTGTGGTCATGCAGGGAGCTGGAGGTTTCTCTTTGGCCATAAGACTTAGGGACACATAATCTTTAGATCGGAGCCAATAGCCAGCATCAGCATCATAGTCCTAGAGCCGGAGAGCATGTCCTAGATCAATTAAGTAAATTTGTTGGTCAAGAGAGTCGTTGTTAATGATTACATTACTACAGTGAATGTCACAATGACAGTAACCTGCCCTATGAAGGTCTCCTATAGCCAGAGCCAGCTTGAGAAACACCATTAGACAAGTTTTTGTATCAGCATTAACCAAAAATTTTTTATAAGTTTGGCCTGGGCAAAATGTCATCACAAGTGAGACAGTCTGGTGTTAAACTTACTTGTAGCTCACCACAACACCGTAGAGATGGGGAACTCCTGCGATCCCCCCCACATCCTGCAGCACCCGAGCCTCTTTCAAGACTTCCTTTCTTTGTGAGTGGGACACCTCTTTAATCACGACGGGGGCCGTCTCCCCCTTCCCTAGACATAAGGTGCCCTTGTAAACATCACCAAAGGCCCCCGAACCCAACAATTGGTGATACCTTAAATCCTTACGATGGATGACAGGGAGACCCTCCAGTCCCTCCTTTGGGTTTACAACTGACCAAGGGGCTCCTCCACCACTACCACAAGTGTTGGCAGGATTGACTTGCAACACCTGCCTTTTATTGCTAGGCTGGTCTTCAGCACCCTCAGAGTGTGGTAGAGACCGTTTATGTCCACTACCACCCTCAGAGTGTGGTAGAGACCGTTTACGTCCACTACCACCCTCAGAGTGTGGTAGAGACCGCTTACGTCCACTACCACCCTCAGAGTGTGGTAGAGACCGTTTACGTCCACTACCACCCTCAGAGTGTGGTAGAGACCGCTTACGTCCACTACCACCCTCAGAGTGTGGTAGAGACCGTTTACGTCCACTACCACCCTCAGAGTGTGGTAGAGACCGTTTACGTCCACTATCACCCTCAGAGTGTGGTAGAGATCGTTTACGTCCACTACCACCCTCAGAGTGTGGTAGAGACCGTTTACGTCCACCATCTTTGGGCTCATCGGGCTTCTTGCGAGAATCTGACATAACGTAGTTTACCGCTGTTTGGTGTGTAAACTACGTACAGTACTAAGGCCTTCGCTTTTTAAAACTTGGTTGACGAAAATGTAGTAAGTGGTATAACCAGTGTTGTGGATATAACCAGTGTTGTAGTGTAGATATAACCAGTGTTGTAGTGTAGATATAACCAGTGTTGTAGTGTAGATATAACCAGTGTTGTAGTGTAGATATAACCAGTGTTGTAGATATAACCAGTGTTGTAGTGTAGATATAACCAGTGTTGTAGTGTTGATATAACCAGTGTTGTAGATATAACCAGTGTTGTAGTGTATAACCAGTGTTATATAACCCAGTGTTGTAGATATAGTGTTGTAGTGTAGATATAACCAGTGTTGTAGTGTAGATATAACCAGTGTTGTAGTGTAGATATAACCAGTGTTGTAGTGTAGATAGAGATATAACCAGTGTTGTAGATGTAGATATAACCAGTGTTGTAGTGTAGATATAACCAGTGTTGTAGTGTAGATATAACCAGTGTTGTGGTGTAGATATAACCAGTGTTGTGGTGTAGATATAACCAGTGTTGTAGTGTAGATATAACCAGTGTTGTAGTGTAGATATAACCAGTGTTGTAGTGTAGATATAACCAGTGTTGTAGTGTAGATATAACCCAGTGTTGTAGTGTAGATATAACCAGTGTTGTAGTGTAGATATAACAGTGTTGTAGTGTAGATATAACCAGTGTTGTAGTGTAGATATAACCAGTGTTGTAGTGTAGATATAACCAGTGTTGTAGTGTAGATAGTGTTGTAGTGTAGATATAACCAGTGTTGTAGTGTAGATATAACAGTGTTGTAGTGTAGATATAACCAGTGTTGTAGTGTAGATATAACCAGTGTTGTAGTGTAGATATAACCAGTGTTGTAGTGTAGATATAACCAGTGTTGTAGTGTAGATATAACCAGTGTTGTAGTGTAGATATAACCAGTGTTGTAGTGTAGATATAACCAGTGTTGTAGATATAACCAGTGTTGTAGTGTAGATATAACCAGTGTTGTAGTGTTGATATAACCAGTGTTGTAGATATAACCAGTGTTGTAGTGTTGATATAACCAGTGTTGTAGTGTAGATATAACCAGTGTTGTAGTGTAGATATAACCAGTGTTCTAGATATAACCAGTGTTGTAGTGTAGATATAACCAGTGTTGTAGATATAACCAGTGTTGTAGATATAACCAGTGTTGTAGATATAACCAGTGTTGTAGATATAACCAGTGTTGTAGATATAACCAGTGTTGTAGATATAACCAGTGTTGTAGATATAACCAGTGTTGTAGATATAACCAGTGTTGTAGATATAACCAGTGTTGTAGATATAACCAGTGTTGTAGTGTAGATATAGTGGGAGTTAAGTGATACTCACACAAGAGCTGTTGAGGCGGTAGACATCCATTTTGTTTTCCCCCCGGGATTTTACTTGGTTAATCCGTATTCTACCCGGATTAAGAAATCCCCCTATGGCCGATACGAACTGGCTGTATCAGGAGTATGGCTTAATCTGGGTTAGATCCTCCCCCCCCCCCTCAATTAGTCTGGATTAACCCTGTTTTACTAATAATAATGTGGTTAATTCAGCAATAATATATTTTTAATTCTTGATTTGGGTTAGGTAGAATTTAGCCTATGGGAGACAGCAACTGGGGGATTCATTAGCTTACAGGAGACAGCAGCTGGGGGATTCATTAGATTACAGCAGACAGCAACTGAGGGATTCATTCGCTTGCAGCAGACAGTAGATAGCAGAATGTAGACTAATTTATTTGTACCCATTTGTCAGACAAAACAATGTGTCTTATATGCCACAAAATGTCGTACATTTGGCATCCATTTGAAATAGTTTGTTCCACAACATAGCCTGTTTTTGGAGCGTTCTGGGTGTGTGTGTGTGTGTGTGTAATAATAATAATGAACGGTTTATTGAAAGTAAGTGTGTGTGTGTGCGTGCGTGCGTGTGTGCGTGCGTGCTTGCATGTTCTCTCCTGGAACAATTCTAAGTCACAATATCGGTATGACAAAAGGTCGGAATCCTCATAGTTTGCTACAGTAGCTACAGCACTGGAAAAGTGTTAAGGTTATAATACAGTGAAATAGCTGTAGATTAAATGCACTTAAGTCTACACAATGTAACACAGTAGCAGAGGGAACGTTAGATTAGGTTTAATCAGGTTAAATCAAGTTAAATTAGGTTATATCATGTGGGGTTTAGGTCATGTCATATGGGATGTAGGTCATGTCATGTGGGGTGTAGGTCATATGTGTGGGGTGTAGGTCATGTCATGTGGGGTGTAGGTCATGTCATGTGGGGTGTAGGTCATGTCATGTGGGGTGTAGGTCATATGTGTGGGGTGTAGGTCATGTCATGTGGGGTGGAGGTCATGTCATGTGGGGTGTAGGTCATATGTGTGGGGTGTAGGTCATGTGTGTGGGGTGTAGGTCATGTCATGTGGGGTGTCGGTCATGTCATGTGGGGTGTAGGTCATGTCATGTGGGTGTAGGTCATATGTGTGGGGTGTAGGTCATGTCATGTGGGGTGTAGGTCATGTCATGTGGGGTGTAGGTCATGTCATGTGGGGTGTAGGTCATATGTGTGGGGTGTAGGTCATGTCATGTGGGGTGTAGGTCATGTCATGTGGGGTGTAGGTCATGTCATGTGGGGTGTAGGTCATATGTGTGGGGTGTAGGTCATGTCATGTGGGGTGGAGGTCATGTCATGTGGGGTGTAGGTCATATGTGTGGGGTGTAGGTCATGTGTGTGGGGTGTAGGTCATGTCATGTGGGGTGTCGGTCATGTCATGTGGGGTGTAGGTCAAATTTTCTTGGAGGGCTTAACACCCCCCATCACCCCCCTCTCCTCCATCCTTTTGATATTCCTGGATCCGCCTCTGACTCCTTCATGGCACATCTCTCTCATTCCACTTCACAACACATCTTTCTCATTCGACCTCACAACACACCTTTCTCATTCCACTACAACAAAAGGTTTTGTGTCTACTTACTTTACTCACTCGAGGTGGTACTGTAGTTACTAAAGGGGGTCACTTGACTCTGAACATTTTGGTATCCATCAATATGTTACTGGGGGGAACCTTCCACTCCTATCCTGTTGTCAAGGCCTTTTTCAGTCTCCAATCAGGGTAGGTTTTTTCCAAGGGTCCTTATGTTCTGTTACCCTGATTGGTTGGCACACTGTATGGGCGGAGCTATCTCCATGGCACCCCATATAGGTTTACGTGTTATTCCTTGAGGTTGTAACTAATTGTGTCCATCTGTTCTGACAAGTGCCATAAACATTGTAACGGCCATTCACATGGGTGTATGGGTGCCTGCCTGTGTGTTTGGGCGCGGGTCTGTGTGGGTGTTCCTGTTTATTACACCACTTCACAACACATCTTCCTCATTCCACCTCACAACACATCTTTCTCATTCCACTTCACAACACATATTTTTCATTCCATTTGACAACACATCTTTCTCATTCCACTTCACTTTTTTTATGAGAATGTCATAATTATTGGCAATTTCTGACAGTGAATTAATGTTATTGTTTTTTGTTTTCTTTCAGGAAGTGGCTCTGCTTGATGTCCGCAAGGAAATTACATTCTGCAGGAAAGTGAACATACCAGTTATCGGCATTGTGGAAAACATGACCACCTTTGTGTGTCCCAAGTGCAAGGTAACATGCTTTGGTTAGGTTAGGTTTAAGTCAGGTTAGGTTAGGTTAAGTTAGGGTAGCTTAGGTTAGTTTAAGTGGATAGCATTGTAGTCATTCCCTTACTTTCTTGTGTGAGGGCCTCTAACAACTACCACAAGACACTTACCTGTCTTGTGACTCAGTATATTACATAAAGTTCATTATTGTGTTAACGCCTTACATGAATTGGTAGTGAGTGTGGGGACCTGTAGTAAAGTTGAAACATGCACAGTGTGGGCTGCTGGACACATTACACAGCTGCTTCTGTTTGTGGCACTTGCCATGTACAGTGTTGCCGCCTTTCTGCTTTGGTATGCAGTCGGGCTAACTCGAAAGTATTGACACCTTCTCGTGTGGTGCTCCTCCAAGCATTATGGTGTGGAATAATTGACTCCCAGGTGAGGGGGTCGATTTGGCACTTTTTCAGGTTTGTCTTAAGGCTATCCTTATACCTTTTCAGTTGCCCACCAGCCTTACGTTTACTATTCGTTAGTAACTGTAAAGTAGCTGCTTTGACAGTCTACTGTAGTCCATGCGGGTAACATGGCCATTCCAACGTACTGGCATACCCCGGTTACGAAAGGTATGTGTTCTTGAAAATTTGTCCGTAACGCGAAAATCCGTAATGCGAAACCAATTTCCCCATTGACTTCCATTATTAATTGGAGATGCGTTCCCAAGGAAATTTTTTTCGGCAAAAAAACATAATACAAACACATTTATGAATGAAAATAAATTATTTTTAACACATACATTGATTATTTGAGGCACTCCATGATAGCAGGGGTGAAGAACCAGATTAAAAAAGCTGAGACAAACGCATTTTGTTTTTTAAGCTAGAGAGTTCATTTTTGTTATCGTCCAGCTCAGTTCCTCTCCTAGCAAACTGTGAAAACTGGAAGTGTTAGTAGTGTGAATAGTTATTATTTTATTCCGAGTTGAATGAGAATAACTACCCGTCATGTACAGTTGTTTGAGCTTCAAATCAACAATAATCACATTTTTCTGCAAAATTGTCTTACTATTGTGGACTAATACTGTAAAATAAGTTAATGATCACCAAAAATAACACTCGTCGTATTACACCCCCATAACCCCCCAAAAAATAAATAATAAAAAAAAAATCATTTGCCTATTAGTATTTTATCTTTCTGTCCCTATTATTAGCCAAAAATTTATAATATTGTTAGGTATAATTGTGTGTAGTAGTAAGGAAACACCACTGCACTCATCCCCCCCTACCATTAACCCCCCAACCTTGTGTTTTTCTAACCTAACCTTCAGTTTATTGAGTGTTCCTTTCTATATTATGTGTGGGTGAATACCATCATAAAGTTAAGATGTTATTTTTAGTAAAACGTACGTATTGTGTCGGGAAAAAGTGGAGTTTGGGGGCCAGCCCGGTCTCTATTTCAATTAATCCCATATGTTATGTTGTTCACTTTACGCGGGCCGCCGTGGGTTGAATTAACCGCGTAAAGTGAGGGTTCACTGTACAATACAATACAGTACAGTGCAGTACAATACACAGTACAGTATAGTACAGTACAATACACAGTACCGTACAATACACAGTACAGTACAATACACAGTACAGTACAATACAAGTACAGTACAATACACGGTACAGTATAGTACAGTACAGTACGTATTTTCTGAGAGAGAATAAAATACACTTGGAGATTGGTAGATGTTAAACAAGTGAGTGGAACTCTGTGGTCTTAAATGACACTGAAATAAGGGAGTAAATCCTTTAACAGTTGAGAGATCTAGGTATGGTTGTAAAAGTGGCCAGACAACAATAACCCTATAATACTAGTGTGTCATTGTTTCTTGTGAGTCACAAGATGGCTCTGGTGAAGTGATCTTGTGAGCTGTCCTAATTATTGACCATCTGTAAACACTTAATGACATTATGGAATTACAGGATCCAGTTACCCGTATTCATATCTGATTCTTATCTTATTTTTCAGACTGAAACGGCCATCTTTCCAGCCACTACCGGAGGTGGTCAACAGTTGGCCGTTGAAACTGGGTTACCCCTGCTCGGCCGGTTACCTTTAGATCCAAGAGTTGCTCGAGCTTGTGACAACGGACACAATTTTCTGAGTGAAGAACCAGATTCTCCAGCCACTTCAGCTTACAAAGATATTGCCAAAAGTAAGATATTTGTACAGTACAGGCAGGCCCACAGTACAGGCAGGCCTACAGTGCAGGAAGGCCTACAGTACAGGCAGGCCCACAATACAGGAAGGCCTACAGTACAGACAGGCCCACTATAAGGGAGGGTTTTCTTTGATGTATTTTCTTATTAATTTATCCCACTGCTGTTAACTTCTAAATTCTTCAACCTTGTTTCTCCCATTTCTTTACTTCATTAAGTGTAGATGGTAGCTATAACTTAATTACTTCATATAGGCCGGCCTGGAGTGCTCTTGTAGCAAACAGACCCTCACCATTGATCACTTCCTTTTCAGGATGTGTTAACTTGTCGCTGGACTTAACAACAATCTCGGGGATTTGCACACACAGACTCGTAGCACTGGTAGGACTGTATGGTCCCTGTTCTAAATCCGCGGAGCAGGAGGTCTTCTCTAACCCAAGGTCTAAAGCCCACTGGCTAAATTGTTTTTTTGAGGCGTGAAGTGATGAACAGTACACCACTGTCTCACTGACCTGCCCCCCCCTATCGGCTGGCTAACATACCACTAATTGAAAACATGTCCCAGTTATGGCTGGCCGGTTACCTTATCTCTACCGTAAACAAACATTTGGGATGGGTTGTGCGGGAGGCCCAACGCAACCCATGACACCAGGATGCCCTCAATATCCTCTGATTCCAGCTCATCAAAGCCTGCCTGTCTAGCCAAGCTGAGGATATCTCTATTCACAGCTGGGACTAAGTCCGTGAATCCCGTAAAACTGTTGATGCACTCGGGCCACAGTTTACGCCACACACCATTCAGGCAACTTTCTGAAACCTCTTCCCATGCCTTGCCAATGTTGTCAATTGCATGAAGAATGTTGAAGCCACACCAATATTCCCGGATCGTAGGTTTATTTTCTCCATCTGTAGCTATGAGCAACTGGGTCATGGTACGGATTAAATAATACGCCTTGAATGCGGCGATGAAGCCTTGGTCCACAGGCTGCATCAGTGCTGTCGTGTTGGGAGGCAGGAATACAACTTTTACACTGTCATGCAAGTTGTCGAGATTGGGAGGATGAACTGGAGCATTGTCAAGGATCAGAAGAATTTTTAGGTCAAGGTTCTCCTTGGCACAGTATTCCTTCAATGCAGGGACGGCGTACACGTTCGACCACTGGCTAAATATGGCGCCGGTTATCCATGCCTTCTTATTTGCTTTGTAGATCACTGGAAGGTGATCCTTACAGTAACCTTTCAGGGCCCATGGGTTAGCAGCGCGAGAAATCAGCATAGGCTTCAGCTTGAAGTCACCAGCAACGTTCGCGCCAAGCAGCAGCGTCAAGCGATCTTTTGCCGCTTTAAAATCTGGCACTCTTTTCTCCTCCTTGGAGATATAGGACCTCTCAGGCTTCCTCTTCCAAAAGAGACCAGTCTCATCCACAGTGAAGACTTGTTGTGATGTGTAGCCTCCTTGCTGGATAATCCATTTGAATTCTGGCGGGAATGTCTCGGCAACAACCGTTTCTGAACTAGCAGCTTCACCAGTCATCTTAATATTATGGAAGTTATACCTGCGTTTAAATCGTTGAAACCAGCCTCGGCTGGCCGTAAAGGTCTCTTCCTTCTATCCTTCACCCTCTTCTGCCTTTATGTCATCAAACAAGGATCTGGCCATATGCAGGATAACCATAAGGCTCACAGGCACATTGCGTTGATTCTGGTCCTCCATCCACATTACCAGCATCTCTTCCACCTTCTCTATCACAGTGCTTCTAGTACGAGTTGTCTTAGTTGCACTCAGAGAAGAACCACTTCCAGCACTAATCTTAATCTTGTCAGTGTTGGTTTGGATAGTACACACCGTTGTGGGGGTTAGACCAAGCACAGCGGCTATGTCCACAGCACGTTCCCCTTTTTCAAATCGGGTTAATACATCCATTTTTGTACCAAGGGTAATGGTCATATGTTGCCTCTTCACTACACTAGCATCAGTAGCACTTGATGGGCGCTTGGAAGCCATTTCGAATGGTTCGAGTATAGTATTAGAGCAAAAGCACTAAAGCACACACGAATGATGTGAAGTCGTAACAGAGACTGGCTTGGCATCGCTTGGGGACGCTGTGACGTTCCGCTAGTGAGGGCAGTGCGCCGAGCCGAGAGAGCGTAGCACAGCCAGACAAGAGCAGTTGATGCGCCGTAGAAAGTAGTCTGTGACGATGCAAAACGAATTTTTGGTCTCTAAAGTTTAGCGACGTAGTACCGGAACAACGTTAAGCGATACACCATTAAGTGAGGACTTACTGTATATACATATTAGTTACTGATTTCAATTTTTTTGTCAATGCATTTATAGTACCTGACTGATACTCTTTTGTTTTCACTATGTTTGTATCTCAGGTTTTATATTTAAGCACTTAAAGCTGAGCCTCCTCCTCGGTTACCTCGTAAATACAGCAGTAAGATAGAAAGTGTCTCTTTTTATCCTGCATCATCTGGCGAAGATGATGGGATATATTAGCCTTGTGTATACAACATGACATGTAGCAGCGTACAACACATTATCTAATGTGTATTTCAGGTAAGCTGTGAAAACACAACACCTTCAAGTCAACTCCATGTTTTGTTATTAAAGTTTAGTTGGTTGGGTTGCCATAGAGGGTTGCCTTAGAGTACTGCTCTCATATCTGGGGTGGCTCTTCTGTCCAACTATTAGATAGGGTGGAATCTAAGGCATTTCGTCTTGTTAACTCTCCTCCTTTAGTCGACAATCTCTCTTCCCTTTCTCTTCGCCGCAATGTTGCTTCACTCTCTCTCTTTTACAGGTACTTTAACGGGCAATGTTCGGTGGACTTGGCATCCTGTGTACCTCCGGCAAGGCCATGGGTTCGCAACACACGTTTTGCCCGCGGTGCCCACCGTTTCTCTGTGGATGTCGGTCACACAAGAATAACCCATTTTAGTACCTCCTTCTTTCCTCACACAGCCAAACTGTGGAATGCTCTGCCTTCTTCTGTGTTTCCATGCTCTTACAATCTGTCTCACTTTAAAAAGCTGGTTTTTCTACATTTACAATTTCTTTCCGTTCTTTTTTTTTTTCGCCCCCCAGGCTCCGTTGTGGGTCGTTTGACCTGTGCCCGGGTGGGCTAATTCCCGTAAAAAAAAAAAATATGGCAACTTTTTCCTCGTAAAAATTGTCTCTAGAGTGAATGGCATCTGAGCGCCAGCTGGGTTGATACGTAAATCAAACTTACAGAATTTCTTTCATAGTCATCTAGCCAACCCAACACGAAGGATGGATGTCGGTAATTGTGGTGCAATACTATATATTTTTTTTACAATATGTTGTAGGATGGTGTGTGCATGTAACTTAGTAAAAATAAACGATGAAGGTTACTTATATCTACCCGAAAATATTAGTTGAAAATACCATAACATCTCTAAGCGTGGCCCAGTAGCCTGGTGGTTACAATGATGAGCTAACCTAACATTATTCTTCCAGTAAGCACTATTAATACTGTAACAGTAAATCCAGTGAAGTATGGCCGTGAAATTGCTGACAATTTTAAAACTACCCCAGACATTCTTGGGCACATCCAGGGTGTCATCCGCCAATAATCAAGGGCTGTGAACTGTAAAGGCATGCTGTACTGTATTGTTGTGGAAATTTGTTCATATATTTTCATGACTTGTAAATATTTTAACAGGCAATTTACCCTTAGGAGCTCTCTAACATGTTCTTGTGCTGGGATAGTGATCTTTGCTAACATTGTTCACTGTGTTTCTTGTCAGGGATAAGCCATTGGTTTCTCTATACTGTATAATTTATATAATTCTTGATTTACTTGTATGAATATGAGGCTATGCAGGCCACAACTTCTTTAGTGCCACCTGGCCAAAAATGTTTTTTTTTTTTATTTCACTGTCTTCTCACATCAACTGCCTCCCGATTCTGAGGCCGAATGAAGCAATAGTTTGTAGGGTTAATAATCCTATTTCTGCAAACGGATCATCAGCCATAAGGTAGCAGTGCTGGCGTAGAGTGTGCTCTCACTCTTCTCCCCCGCCTCCTGAAATGCTCCAATGATACCCCTAGTGAATGATGTCTAGGGAACTGTGTGGCCATGTGATCCTCTGTGTTTATACATTTTTTCATGCAATAATCTTTGACTATTTGCTAATGATTAATAATGTACCCCAAGTCTGGTGCTTCATCAATCCTTACATTAAACTGACACTGTCTTGTAGTGATGTGTCTCAAAAGAGTAACCTGTGTAGAAGGTGCAGTGGATACTCTGCTCTCTGTCCTAAGGTTCAGCCCCAGTCCATCCACCTGTAAATGGGTAGCAGACTTTACATGTGGGGAATGAAGGCAGTTAAGTGTAGTGCAAACTTAGTGCCTCCTTATGTACATTAGAGTTAGTACAGTGCAGTATACAACCTGTTGTGTCCATAGTCCGTAAGGAGCAGTTGCTATAGGATCCATTACACTACACTACTATAATGCATCACACCACTCATGCTTGTTTTTGTTTTTTTTTCAGAAATAATGGAGTATTGTCAGACTCAGATGCAGCAACAGTCGTGATGGGGTAAAGAAATACATCAAATTATCCTTTGAATGTAAAACTTGAGTTCAAATGAATACTGTTTAGAGAAGTTAAGTCATTTTTTAGAGCATTAAATAATGTACTTCATTACAACTTTGTTTTCTAATCATTATGAATATACAGTCGATCAAAAAACTATCTGTAGAAAAAATCTTTTAACAATATGAAACAACGGGTGAAGAATTTTGACAACCCTACCAAAACAACAGGAGTCATAGTGTTCCTTCTGTAATTCATCAATATTCCCAGTAAAGACTTAAACACTAACAGACTCATCAGCCCAGTGAATGTTTAAATAAATGACAAGTCCAGAAATGATTAACATTCCTTGAATACTGTATAACCTGTTTTGCCTTATAAACATACCCTGCTGACAATTGAGCACCATACAGTACTGCCTTAGGTCATGTCATGTTAGGCTTTTTTTTTATTAGTAAATGCTTACTTAGCCGAGAATACCTGGCCTGGCAACCTGGACACTACATAGTCAGTAGCTGTTACACCATATAAATACGTATATCTCTCTTATTATAAGAAAAAAAATCATTGAAAGAATTACCAGCGCTAATATATATTTAAGCTATTGCCATTTTAAATGTGAGAGAATTAGTTTCCTGTCTGTTGCATCTGTAACCTCACTCCTGACCTGTCCTACCAGGCGAGAATCTCTGTTAAATACAAGTACACTGTATAAAAATCTTGTCCTCGTCATGTTCCCCCATGTGACCTCATGTTACCCAAGTGACCTCATGTTCCCCCACGTGACCTCATGTTCCCCCACGTGACCTCATGTTCCCCCACATGATCGCATGTTCCCCTACGTGACCTCATTTTCCTCAGGTGGTCAGGTCAGAGAACCTTCAGAACTTGTCTTGTGAGTTGGATGTTATATACCATATTTCCCAACCTAGGGTCACATGGAGCCCCTTAATGAACCTTAAAATATAATAATTAAATTTTTGTGTTATTTTACCAAATATAAAATACTGGAAAACAAACAAAAAATTTAAGGAATATTATCACAGATGTAAAGTAACGGCCTACATGGTAAACCAAAAGGCTGAAGCAAAACTCAACTCCATCTATGGTTAAACCTTCATAAACAATGTCTCGTTCAGCGATATTCTGCGTTTACGATGGTTATGAAATAAGGCTGTCTCGCTATATACGAGATAATCAATTCGCTTTAACGATATCCATTTTCTAGGAAACAATTTTTGTGATATAGTCCAGAATGCGACGTCTAGCTTTATACCTAGGTATGTAAATGCCTAGCATTAACTCGCCAGGCCAACATACAGGCAATTAAAACATCTAATAATTACTCTAGCAAGATGTATTGGGCTGAGAATTCCACCCTGAATGGTTCTCATTTAACCCATACTGAGGATATTAGGTTCATCCCACCATAACTCTAGATTGCTAGTAAGACCGAAAGGTCAGCGTCTGGAAGGATCACTAAGACTAGCAGCCTTGCTGAAGTTCGCCTGGAAAGGCTGAACCCGCTACTGAGGACATGAATAAAATAGAGCTATAAAAAGAAAAACTTAACTCTGGCCTGAATGCTAAGAGTACAACATAACTCTAGATTGTTAGTAAGACCAGAAGGTCAGCATCCGGAAGGATCACTAAGACTAGCAGCCTCGGTAAAGTTTGCCTGGATAGGCTAAACCCGCTACTGAGGACATTAATAAAATAGAGCTATGAAGACTTAAACTCTGGCCTGCATGCTGAGAGTAGTCAGAAAATCCAGGGCGGAAGCCCGAAAAGTTTCATGAATGAACATGATTAGGGGGAGAGGGATGGCCACATATATTGTAGCATACTGTATGTGGCCTGTTAAACTTCTCTATGTTAGTTTACAGTTAGTTACAAGTAGTAGAAGCTCCAACAACTTTCCCTGAATACGAATTCCCAACTTTTCAATTTACAACAGGTACCTACTTACTTCGAGGTGAAGAGGGACCAAGGGGGGCTAGGAAGAGTGTCCAAACAACTTTCCGCCGGCCCGGGAATCGAACCTGTGACATCTCGCTTGCGAGGCATGAGCGGTACCGCTCTACCACCAGCGCCCTCTCTCTGTGTTTGTCTATTTTCTCTTTGTTAGGCTCACATATATATATATATATATATATATATATATATATATATATATATATATATATATATATATATATATATATATATATATATATATATATATATATATATATATATATATATATATATATATGCTGATAACCACAAGGAAAGAAGAAAACACGAAGTTCCCAAGCGCTTTCGTGTAATTCACATCTTCAGGGGTGAGTACAGACGAAAGAGAAATACAAACCAAGGTGTATATATACAGAGGAGGGTGAGTCCAGGTCCACAATGGTCAGGTATTAGGTAATGACCCTACTAATCTTTAAATAGCACACAACGGTTGGTGGTCAGGTCAGATGGTAAGGTGACCCGACCTTTTCACCTGGTTACAAATCTTCTTAATTTTGTAATTAACAATTGAGAATTAACTGAGGGACTTTCCTGTTCTACTGACTCATCCATTTTGATCTAAAATGCTACCCCTCGACCAAAGAAAAATACGAACCCCTTAACACAACTACTCTCCTGTACTACTACAACCTGAATTGTTCAATGGTACAATACAACACTACAGAACACCTTAACATGGCACCAAAAATTGTAACTCACATCAACTGGAGACCGAAAGTCCTATGGTATTCCATAGGTGAACCACTTAAACATCAGAGGTGAACCACTTGAGACACTTCTCAGACACAGTGTGGACTCCCTTACTTCAACGCCAACAATGTTAATCCACAACTTCTGTAATTATTAATACATATTAACACTGGATAAAACACAAACACAAAACAAATCAATGACACATTACTTCAGTACTGTCTAAATTTTCAAAAATTCTTCTGACATTTCTGTACTCAATCAATGTTATTCACATGCAAGTATCACTCAAAAGTCAGATAATCCATCATTAAAATACGTGTCTATTTCTGCAACTTAATTCACAGCTTCAATTCCCTCGGATTTGATCAATGATTAAAAACAATCCCACCGCTATAGCCACCAATTTATACTACCAGATTCTGGGGTAGCGGGCAGAGTGGACTAGGCATTGAGTTAGGTTTTTCATTGACCAGATCGATAAGGGGAAAGAAGGGTGAAACCATAACATGTCTTAATTAATTTATTCCTTATAAAACATACTGGTAAAAAAAAATACATACAAGCAAGTTGGCCTTCCTCAGAAGAACAACGAAGATGTTGGTTACCCTGCTCGGCCCCAGACGTCTTCCATTAATTGCGTGTCATCCACATACTTATTGCAAAACAATCCGTGACCTCCTTACCTCGGTCATTCCTTCTTACACTGTAAGGGCGCCCGTTTTTCAACACCTACACCACCTTTATCTTATTTACTTTTCTTGTCTTATTTCTTACTCTTACTCAGTTCCTTCACATGTTCCTTTTACTTACTTCACTGGTTATTGCATAACTGAAGGTTCCAAGTGTTCCCTGAAGAATGCAGTGATGGGTAGGGAAACAACGGGTAACACTGAAGTCCATTTATTCGGATAGGAGAAATACAAGTGGTGACTTGCGTGTGCCATGCACGAGGCACGAAGTCAGACTGAGACTGCCTTGCCATATGGCAGCCTCGGGGCAATGTTGCCACATAACACGTGCAGTGTTGCCACGTAATTATATACATAGATGCTACTCGGCACAGTAGCTTATGTACAAAGTTGCTACTCGGCACAGTAGCTCAGATACATAACCTACAATAACCATAGTTCTTTTTGGTAGCATGGACGAGGGTCTAGGCACATGGGTATGGTAATTCTGGTATCAAGTCACTTGGATGGAAATAAAGGTAACTACTGTGGGAGAAATGAATACTCCTAAAATACTCTAAGAACAGGTTTATTAATATGAAATCAAAGGGAAAAAGAGATAGTATTAACATATGACAACCAGGCTCAACTCCTGGGCTTATTGCAGACTCAGTATTTTCTTCTTTACTTATTTTCTTATTTACTTATTTTCTTATTTTTACTCAACATCAATTACTCAGATATTACACTCTTACTGCACACAACCTTACTGGTGTTACATTACATTACCTAGCAGGACCGGTTCCTTGGCCCTACTCACAATACACAATACGAGGCACACCTTGTAGATTACTTTACTGCCACTCCAAGTGGGTACTTCTACTTCACCCACATCTTCTAGTGGTACATCTCATTACAGTTACAAAACTTTACTCCTAGTCCCTAGTGGATAACTTTACTTCTCACACCTTACAAGGTACTTTACAAAACTTACTGACTGTTGGTGGTGCATATGAGATGCACTCACAACATATACGTTAATACTGAAACCAGCAAATACATGGGTCCACTACCCAACATGGGATAATTATTTCCAACTAATTATTCCCCAAACATACATTTTACAACACACTCTGTGGACATATAACTTCCAGGGAGCATCCCAGGGTAGAACACTGGGGTTCACGACCATTGCTGTGGTCGGTGGTAGCCAGACACATGGCGAGTCTGGGGTCTGGCTCCACGCGGCAGTGGAGCAGATTAATCATGCCGAATCGGTGCCATCATTTCATATATTGATCCCTGCTGGGTATCTACTGAATTCGGGGCAGTTGTTGAGTGATCCAAGAGTCACAATTGGATCTGGGGACAGACGGGAGAGGACGTCATGGGAATGGGAAGCATAACAACACAAACAAATCTCTTGTCTGGAAATGACAGACATTTACTTTATATTACTCTTATACTGGGTGAATGACAATTCAACTGTTAAAGCATGAACACTGATGAAAACTGATATTCACTAGAATTGACTGAATCAAACTGTATGGCTAGGGAACACAGAACATACCTGGGGACAGACTGGAGAGGACGTCATGGGACGCTCTCCCTGCCTGGTCCCGTGGTATATATACCCCTGAGTTGACAGCGATCGCTACTCACGCAATGACAGAGATTACAAACAACTCAACTGTTACTCATTCAAGGATGACCCTCAGTTGACAAATGTCTGGC